AGGGTTAATTTCACCCTGCTTAACGGGTCGGAAGGGATTTTTGCTTACAGTGTACTTGGGTGAGTGTATTTATGATTTTTAAAATTTAAAATAAAGTTGGGATCTAATCGTCTTCATAGAGTAATTATTTATTTTGAAGTTTAAGGGTTAATTTCACCCTGCTTGACGGGTCGGAAGGGATTTTCGCTTACAGTGTACTTTGGTGAGTGTATTTATGATTTTTTAAATTTAAAATAAGGTTGGGATCTAGACGTCTTCATAGGTAATTATTTATTTTGAAGTTTAAGGGTTAATTTCACCCTGCTTGACGCGTCGGAAGGGATTTTCGCTAACAGTGTACTTTGGTGAGTGTATTTATGTTTTTTTAAATTTAAAATAAAGTTGGGATCCAATCGTCTTCATAGGGTAATTATTTATTTTGAATTTTAAGGGTTAAGTTCACCCTGTTGTATACACTTCACAGGATAATTATTTTATGAATTTGATGGGTTAATTTTACCTTGCTCAACGGATCCGAAGAAATGTTTACCTATAGCGTATGTTAGTGTATTTATTTTTTTAGTGTAAAATTGAATTGGGATTTGATGTCCTTCGTCGGATAAATACTTTTATCAATTTTAAGGGTTATTTTCAACCGTATATTAATTGTTTGTCGATAATTAAGTGTAAAATACATATTGACAATATTATTAAAATAGTTGTATACCGGACGCCACTGTTTTCCTGATCGGGTGTTTTCGGTTATTTTTACTGCTAAAAGTTACTGCTAACTTCACACCGGTGTAAACGTTTAGGTGAGAATTTTGTTAATAATTTAGATTTTAATTCGCTATAATTTAAACCATCAAGTGATGGTTCAGATTTAAAAAAATCATGAGCCGCCCCTGTAAATTTAAATTTTAAAAGTTTTAATGTTATTTCTTCCGTCCAATCGTCTAGTTTGGCTCGTTGCTCTAGCTTGTCCAAATATCTCGCTGGGTCTCTACCTGTAAAATCTGTAAGTGTGGTTGCTATAATACCTAGGGGTTGTTGCGTTATTGGTAAATTAAAATTATGATGTGTCTCCTGTGCTGCGCCCTGTTCTGCGGCATTTTGGGGGATGTTTAGGTTAGTAGGTGGCGCCATATTGTATCAACTTGTAAGTCTGAATTAAATAGCCTTTGTTTATCTTTTATTTTTATTTTTACCCTTATTTTTACCTTTTTTATTTGGCTTCCACGTTGCCTGAAATGGGGTGGGTTAAGGTAGGATTTAGGAATAGGTAGCTCTCGACTTGATCGACTCTAATGTATACTTTGTATGTATATTATAAGAACAATTATTAATTCTTAGAAACTACCTCTAGGCCCGCGTATGCTAAAATATCTATATTTTTTGTAAATTCTTTTAACAGGATTCAAAATTTATCAAATTAGTATGAAATTAAAACAAGTTTCTATAAAATATTTTTTTTTTCAAAAAAAAAATTTGATCAAGTTAAATTAACAAAATTCCCAATACAAAAAAAAATTATTATTATTTTTTTTTTTTTTTAAACACTAAAATTTTCGAAAAGAGGAAGGGAGAGAGAACAAAAAATTTTCCCGAAAAAAAAATTCTTACTTAAAATTCTTTCCGGAAAAAAAATTCAAAAAAAACAAATTTTCCGAAAAAAAAAATTCCAAAAAAAAAAAAAATTCAAAAAAAAAAAATTAACTTTACGAAAAGAGGGAGAAAAAAAAATTTCCCAAGATAATTTTCCAAATTAAATTTTCAAAAATAAATTTTCGAGAAAAAAAAATTCAAAAACCTTTCAAAAAAAAAATTCCAAAAAACTATTTTTTTTTTCTTTTTAGAAAAAAAACAACTTTTTTAAAACCAAAATCACGACTAGAAAAAGAATAAAAATGGACAATTCCAGGATTTTTTTTTTTTTTTTTCAATATTATGAGATTAAAGTAAAATCTCACTTATTTCAAACTTTCAACTATTTTTATGTAATTAGTAAATTTCCCGATTAAATTTTTCTAAGCACAAAATCTATTTTGATTTATAAAACTGTGTAAGATAATAAACTTTTAGGAGTTCCCAAATAGTGGTTTATTCTAAGTTATCTGAGAGAGAAAAAATTACAGTATCTCTCAAAATGCGGAAGCCGTCACTCAAAACCTAGGAGACTAAATTTAGTGGACAGGATGCTAAGGATTATTATTCGTATATGTGTTTAGTTTATTTTAATTAATAACATGAAAAAGAATGGGAACAACGCCCTTTTTCTGTTTGGCGGCCGTCTTGAATTTGACGTTTTGCCGTCGGAAACTATTTAGGTTAATAACTAAATAGCATTAAAAATTAATAACATGAGAGAGAAAAAAAAAATGGGAACAACGCCCTTTTTTTGTTTCGCGGCCGTCTTGAATTTGACGTTTTGCCGTCGGAACTGTTAGCAAGGTAGATAGAAACAAAAGATAGAGAATAGAAACAAAAGGCTAGAGAATGGGAACTAGGCCCTTCTCTTATTTTACGGCCGTCTCGATTTTGACGTTTTGCCGTCGGAAACTATTAGAATCTTAGGCGGAAAGACGTTTTGAATGAGACTTGTGCTACTGGGTATGCACAGACTTGAGCGGATCTGAGCAATACTGCAATTATTCTTTCTGTCTTGTTTAGTTTGCCCTATATCTTTATGAGAAGAGAAAAAAAAATCAACTAAAAAAAAAGGCCTGTCACCAGATGTAATAACTTCTTTGTTACCCTCTTATTATCTTATTTGGGGGTATTATTTCTCTATACTACTTATTGACTGAACTATACTTTAACCCTGCATTGGTTTTAAATAGAACTTACATAAACTGAAAAGGGTACTTACTTATAGGTCTAACTTAGATGTCTATCAAGTCTAGTTGAGCGGTTTGGGCACTATAGTTTTCTACCAAATTAAATATCCTATTAGGGCGTGATTCGTCACGGCTTAAATGCGTGAAACCTTTTTTTTTTTTGTTAGTTGATGTTATCTTTTCCTCAGATACTAAGTGGTTTTTTACCTAATAACTTTTCACTGGGGTGTATGGGGGTTAAAATAAAACCCATTGGTAAATTAAACAAATATAATGAGTAAAATTGAAATTTAGAAAGATTGACGTAACAAAATAAAATAAACTCGATAAATAAAACACAAGGAACTTAAACAGAGTTCCTAGCAAAAAAAGTTGAGCAAAGTTTATGACGATGGATTCAATTGTAAGGTATTAACGTTATCTAAATAACAAATCGTTTATCCCTTCATAAAATAGAATTTACGATGTTGAAATGAAAATTGAAAGAACTGATACAAGCCGGTGACATGCCATTAAATCTAACATAATTTCACCATTGTCACAAAATTTAAGGGCTATTCAATTCGACACAAAATACGTCATAAATCTAATGAATGTCTATTTTCCCAGTATTACAAATTTGTCCCCAATAAACTAAAACTATCTGTAATCATTTTATTACAGCAAAGGAGAGAGTATTATAATCGCTCAAACAATTTTTATCGAGCTACAAGTTGATACCATATAACTCGAAAGATTAGGTTAGTTATTGTCTCAATGGACTTACCCCTGTCGTCTTAAGGGTTGACTGTAAATCCCCACCTGTATATAGGTGGTCGCTCTGGATTAGCCTGTTAGGTAACACTATTAACCAAGGTGCGAGATTACACAAAACCCGGTCGCGCCGCGAATTTTTCTCTTAAAAATCAAAAAAACAATAATTAATAAAACATTTAGTTATCCCAGTGAGCCCGTTTTTTTTCTTGAGTCGTCTCCCCCCGCGATGATCTAGATCGACTGCCTAATTCTCCTCATTTTTCCACTGCCAAAACCTATGAACACTCCCTTTTCATTATGGCCGTTACCTACAAAATTATTTCCTCGTTTGTTTATAATAATTTTAACCAATTACGTTGTCCCTTTTTTGTTTAGCCACACCTTCTGACGTACCCATCTCAACATGGGCTCCTTGTTTTTTTTTTTTTTTGTTGTCTCGACAAAAGGTACTGTTTTGTAGCTCAACAAGAAGCTGAGTCAGCTTTGCATTTAGCTACGTGGTTTTTAGTGAATTATATGAACTTCTATAAACAAAATATGATATTTTAAATTGTGTAACATCCGCTTGTATTTTGAACTTACTTTGTAACCCATAGAAAAACCCGACTAAGGCTTTTTTTTTGTTTTAGCTACCCGTGTGTCTTTCGAAATCCGTATGTTATCTTATTGCATAAAAATGTTTTGAAATATATCTTGTTAATACAATTTTTTTTATTATACTGAGTGTTCTTTTTTTTCTATACACATTTTCTTTGAAATCTCTGATTATTACATTAATTAGAAAATTCAAGTGACCTAACCGTGATAGCGCAGTTAGTAGTGTTAAACTGTTATAACTTAGCATGTCGCGACCATGTCATGATGCAGTTTAATTCCCTATGAAGCATCTTTTAATTTTTTTTATTTTCTCTTCACTATTTATTATGTACTATTTTAATTACTATTTATAAAAAAATGTGACTAGATACGTGAATAATCATCAATAATAAAAAAAGTTTATGTTAACAGTTGTTCTTATTATTTTCTGGTTAAAAAAAAGTAAACTAATGAAAAACATTAGTGTATTCTTATATTTTTTGTACCAAATTGTTTGTAAATGGAATCACCATGTTTTTAATTTTGAGAAAACACCATCTGTAAAACACTTTAAAAATTATTTAATAAGGCATATAAAAATCGAATATAGAACCAGCCACATGTTGATGGAACCTTTTTTGATAAAATTATTTTGTGGTCGCAGGAAAAATATTGTTCATCACTTATGTGAAAGTAAATTTTCACGCTCGTGTGTTATAATATTCCCACTGGTGTGAAAAATGTCACTTTCCAAACTCGTAATGTAATATATTATAAAATGTTGATAAGTCAGCAATAATTTTGAGCCTATTTTTTATTCTAGTGACTATTTCCTTTGTTTGTTAATAATAGGTTGACTGTGGAGCCAGATGTTCTGCTATTGGAGATCCTCATTATGTAACTTTTGATGGAAAGAAATTCGATTTCATGGGAAAATGTTCCTACTACCTTGTCAAAACTGATAACTTTTCAATAGAAGCCGAGAATATTCCTTGCGCTGGTGCAATTTCAGAGGTATTAAATTTTATTAGAAAATCCTGTATAGCAATGTTCCTTTATTTAAAATTTTAGGCAATGAATTTCCCAAGTAGTACATTATCAGGAATACCTACCTGCACTAAAACAGTTACCATCAGAATTAACAATCAAATTGTTAAACTAAAGCAGAATCATGAATTAGTAGTAAATGGTGAGGATATTACGAGGGTTCCGTTCAACATTGCTGGTATAGGAATCAAAAAAGTGTCTTCCATATTCTCGTTGAGTAAGTTTAACATTTTTTTAATGAATGAAATTGTTCTAAATATTTTATTTATATCCGATTTGGTAATATGGCGCAATGTGCAAGATAATAATTTTCAAAAAGTTAGTTCTTTAAGCACAAATATATTTTTGATGCAAATTTATTTTTTCTTTTCAGCAAAACTTCCTAACGGTATTTCTGTTTGGTGGGATGGTATCAGTAGAGTATATATTGATCTTCCAGCGAAATTTCAAGACCAAACAAAAGTTAGTATAATATATTTCTAGCACGGAATTTGATGTAAAATTTTTCTCAGTCTAAATTATTTTTAATTAAAGCCTATGTTATGTTATGTTATGTTGGGAATGGGTTGCTAATACACTGAGACCTAAAAGATCTAATGTGCCCCCTTCTGTCGCCAATGCACCAAGGAAATGTCTCAATGCCTTTAACGACCCTTCCAATCCTATTTTATCAAGGAAGTGTAGGATTTGAAGTAGCTTCAAGTTAGGTAAATCTCCCTCTTCTATTTGATATCCTCCTACATATAGTGCCCTTGGATTCTGGAGTGCTACACGTTAGGATGTGAATGGAGGTTTAGTCCTCCTCCTTACAGAATCTGCACTCACTATCGTCTACTACTCTCAGTTTACTTAGGTGTCCTTTTAGTCGGCAATGCTCGGCAAGGATCCCTGTTACAATACGTAGCCTGTTCTTGATCAGGCAGATGCAGGCTTCCGATCTTTTCTGGTTATATTTACCCAGAAATATCTTGGCCTGTCTTAGTCCCAACGGCTCCGGTCTTACAAAGGATGTTTGAGTCCCTTTCCTTGCAAGACTATCTACAATCTCGTTACCCTGTACCCCGTTATGTCCCGGGTCCCAAGTAAGAGTAACTCTATTTTTCTCGCCTAGCTCATTCAATTGTTCTAGGCATCTCCAGACCATTTTTAAGCTGATTACGTAAAAGCTCAGCCTTTGATGGCTGCTTGACTATCGGACATGATAATAATCTCTTGTCTATGATAGTTTTTCTCGATGTTAAACTGGATACAGTTCTCGATGGCGTGAATTTCCGCCTGGAAGATGCTTGGGTATTTTCTCAAGCTTCCGGAGTGCTTGGTTCTTGGCCCATACACTCCTATTCCAGTTCCTTCTATGATTTTGGAACCGTCCGTATACCACTGAATAGCACGTCTTTCGGTTGCAAGCACGATGGATTCTTGGCTCCATTTTTCTTGCAGCCCAGATCTGTGGTTTTGAAGTTTTTCACAAAACTGTACTTCTTTAGCAATTTATCCTAGGGCATGTCCCAGGTATCTTTAGTCCTGAGGCAAGTAGACTTTCGTCTGATTACTCCGTTCCTGATCATTCTATATCGTGTCCTTTTTGTCACATTCTCTATCATCAAATATAGAGGGGTGAGGTTTAAGATCACCTCCATTGCGGCCGTAGGACAGGTTCTCATTGCACCAGTAATGCAAACACTTTTACTTTTAAGATATTAGCTTTCGTAGTAGCTAAACTAGTTCTGTTGCTCAAGGCTATAGCCCCGTAAGTGATGATTGGTCTCACTATTGTAGTATACATCCATCGCAGTATCTTTGGGTTACATCCCCATCGTTTACCTGCAATGTTTCTGCATACCATTAGGGCTTTTGTGGCCTTATTTACTACTTCCTTCTCATGTGTGTTCCAGAGAAGTTTGTTGTCCAGGGTTAGGCCTAGATATTTGACTTCATTTTTCCATTCTATATCTATCCCGTCTAATTTAACGGTTTTGAGATTAAGTTTTCTTTTCCTTGAAAAGGCCTAGTGTTGTTTTTGTAGGGTTTATACTAAGTCCCACTTCACGGCACCATTTTTTGGTATGTTCTAGTCCTCGTTGGACTATATCACACAGGATATTTCTAAACTTGCCTCTAGCAAATATGACTATGTCGTCGGCATAACCTTGACAGGGTATGCCGAGGTCAGTCAATCAGCATAGAAGTTCGTCTACGGTTAGGCTCCACATTAGTGTGGACATTCTCTGGTTGTGCAGATGGAGATGGTGTCCTGTCCTGTGTCTTTGCAGTTCTCGTAGATAACAGCTGAGCCCTCCATCTGGATGTGATGTTATCTACTCCTCTGTGTGCAAGTGCTCTTTTTACAGATTCGTGTGGCGGGTTGTCAAAAGCTCATTCTATGTCTAAGAAGGCACATACGACCGTTTCTTTGTTTGTCAGTGCAGCTTATACTTACATGCTGCGAATAAATTAATATAAATGCTTATATCTTTGTCATTATTGATTTGAGTATATACATGTGATCTTAAAAATCGATTATATTACTTCATTGTTCACATTTTAGGGCCTTTGTGGTTCTTTTAACAACAATCAAAAAGATGATTTCCTAACTCCACAAGATGATATTGAACAAGCCGTTATCCCGTTCGCAAACAAGTGGAAGACCTCAGAACATTGTCCAGATCTACCAGAAATAATCCCAACTCATCCATGTGACAAAAGCATTCATAGGAGACCACAAGCAGAAAAATACTGTTCTAGAATCAAGGAGGACCTTTTTAAAGGTAAGATTCGTTACAATAGATATTCAAGTCTATAGACTTGTCTTGCTTTTTTTCCTTTCCAAAATGATTGAAGGGGAATTGTTAAATGTTTTAGGTGAGCAAAACGAGTTAGGTTGCAATACTAAAAAAGAAGAGGCATATTCTGATTGCTGGGAATATGCTTCTACCCTTCGTCAGACCAGTGAGTCATTTAAAATTGTTAACTATAGCCTTTGGAGCCACTATTGGGATGCTAAAGTACATGATCACGCATAAGGTGGCCCACCAACAATAAGGATTTATAAAATTTAGTTTCATGATGAAATTTTGGTGGGCCATCGTATTTATTGAAGTAATTCATCATTTTATTTAATAGGGTGCCTTTGCTAAAAAATATTGATAATAACGACCTTCAAAGTTGTTAAATTTTATCAGCCTTTGGTGCCACACATTTGATCATTTGATCATTATTTAGAAGGTATTCTATAATTTTGCTATAATACGAGGAGCAGAAAATGCAAAATAAGACAAAAATGAAGTTATATAAATCGCTTTATGGCTTATTAAAATATTCCTTTTTAAAATTTATACAGGTTTCAATTATTTGAAACCAATCTTCAATATACTTTTTCACTCTGGGCAAGGAACCTAGTCCGAAACAAGCGATTTAAATGCTTTAACGGCCTCTTCATGCGATGAAAAACGCTTGTAGCGCATGTTATTTTTAATGTGTCGGAATAAAATAAAAGTAATTGGGCGATAAATCAGGTGAATTCAAAATTTCGACAGGTTTTCGTGATGTGTGAACGTTTGCATTATAATGATTCACCGGTTTACGTTGTTACTTCTGATTTCAACGGCAACCTCCGGCAAACAAATTGAAGTATATCAGCAAGCATTAACTTTTCTTCTATCTTCTATAGCATGGGTCTCCAGACTACTCCCCGCCAGTGTCATCAATTCGGCTTGCGTATGCTCGCTCAGTGCGCGTACTCTGCGACTAGTCTAGAAATTATAAAAAATTGAAGGAAAATTAAAACAGTTTTGACCCTTGGAACTTACTGGAGTAATCGTATAGCCCTAAGGCTGGCAAGTTTGCAGACCCATGCTCTAATACAACAGTCGCAACATGGCTTATTTTTCAGAAGAAACAAATTATCATTTTTCTTACCACTTCGCGGCGAATGCATCACTTTTGTTGATGTAAATCTTCTAAAATTGTATATATAGGTTTAATAAAAGGTTTAATAAATTAATATTTGAAAGTGTCAGAAGATGGAGTCCAAATAAAACATTAGCTTTTTATAAATTGTTTCTTGAGATCCTCGAATTTCATTGCATTTACTATATTATTTCGGTATTCAACTATATAAGTGACTGCTTAAATATAACTATCAATTTTGTAAATATAATTCAGTCGTGTGCTATTTTAATATACCTACAGGATGAGGAATACTTTGATTATTTAAAATCGCCCATTATTAATAGGTCTAGCAATATTTACAACGTGTTTTATGGACCTTATAATATGATTTTTTATTCGGCCAAAATTTTATACCTGACATGACAGTGACTTCCAGAAAGCGTTGCTAGTGATTATTGATAAATCAATAATTTTAATCAAGAATATTTATTATAGTCATAATACTCTGACAACTGACAATAATATTTTCCTAACGTCTGAAATTTCTAAATGTTTATTCTATTCAATGCTTCCCGTGGTGGTAACTTTAGACGATAGTTGTGATGATGGTTTTGTAAAGCCTAAATAAAGCACTTAGCTTAATTTTATTAAAAAATGTAATTTTTACACACTGATGTATTCCTATCATTCTTCATCTCATGTTTCATGTGTAGACTATTCAGTCTTCTAATCTATTAATAATCTGAGATTTCGAATCATCAAAGTGTCCCACGCCTACGATTAACGTATACATGTGCATTTCATTCTGAAACACCCATAATGTACTCCCTCTTTTCTTTTCTTTTTTAGATTGTCACTTCTTTGTTGACCCTGAACAATTCTATCAAGATTGTTTGTTCGACATGTGCTCCTGTGAATTTCCTGTGAGTGCGATTTATTAAATAATATAGTGCTTTTCTGACCAATTTATTTTGACAGGTTTCGAAATGCCTATGCCCAATCATCGCCAGTTATGCTACTGAATGTTCTCGACAAGGAATCAAAATAGATTGGAGAGGTGAAATTCGCGAATGCGGTGTCCACTGCCCGGGCGGACAGAAGTACCAAGTGTGCGGTAATCCCTGCACAAGGACATGCCAGGATATATCCAATGAACCCGACTGCAAACCACAATGCGTTGAAGGATGTAACTGCCCTGAAGGTCAAACCATTGACGAGAACGGCGAGTGTATACCAATTGGACAATGTAAATGTACATATAGGGGAATAGAATTTCCAGCAGGATACAAAGAAATTAGACCCGCTTCTAAAGCTGTCGAATTATGGTAAAAAAACTTTGCTAAATAATTAAGGTAGACAGTCCGATTGTTATCTATTAAATATTTTAGTGAATGTTCCAATGCTATTTGGGAATGCTACCCAGCTGACGAAGAAGACAAGAAGATCTATCCCAACTCAGATTTAGTGCAAAATAAATGTAACGCTTCGGCTAATTTGGAATTTACCACCTGTGAACCTGTAGAGCCAATCACTTGCAAAGTACGTAAAATCGTTTGCAAAATAACAGTTATATTTAAAATTTTATAATTCTTTGATTAATTTAAATATTCTGCATTTTCCTAGAATATGCATTCTCCCGAACTTTACTCACCAGCAATCTGCCATGCGGGATGTCAATGTAAAAAAGGATACGTCTTGGACTCGTCTACCAAAACATGTGTGCTACCAACTCAATGTCCTTGCCACCATGCCAACAAGAGTTACAAAGAAAAATCTGTCGTACAGAGTGGCTGTAATACTTGGTAAGAGTTTTCTAGTAATGGTATAAGACTGGTCATTGCAATATTAATACTAAGCTGATTTTGGTCTTGGTTGTGCTGCAAGACTATATAAACTTGAAAGTGTCTCGCAGTTTTCCAACGACCTAGCTTAGGTAACTACAAAAAAGAAATTGTTTAAACTTTTACCAGTCGAGCAAAGATCAACAGATAAGAACAGGTCAGTGCTGTTGACAGCGTTGTTAAGATCTCCAATATACTGCTTCAAGCGAACATGGACTCCATCTCACCGAGATATATCTTCCATAAGCTATATAAAGTTATAACAAAACAAATAAAAGAACTGGAAGTGGCAGGTACAATTCATATCTACACCCACGTTTCTAAAAGAAAACAAGACTCAGGATGTAGAATATATTCTAGATCCTTAAATCTAAACATGAAATGGGCTGTGAGCAGTAGTTCCAGTGTAATTCAAACCTACCTCATGGGGATTCTCATAGCAGCAAAAGAAATCAACAGAAATAATATCACTGGAAGAAACATGCTTGTCTATAAGATAGCAGACATGCACTACTCATCCTGGACAGGCCACGAATTTAGTACTAGAATGTCACGAAGCTTTGGCCGAAGTATCCATCAATAATGTGGTCAACTTAAGATGGATCAAAGGTCACGCCACATTGAAAGGTAATAATTCACTTGCCAAGAAGGTAGCCAACCCAATATTTTTTGGACATGGCCCTTCTATTGGACTGACAACGTCGGTATTGACAAACCTAATTAAAGAACATTCCCTTGTGGAATTCAAGGAAAGATAGGATGAAACAAAAAGCTGCAGTCTTGCCAAGAAGCTTTTAAGTTATCATGACAACTCTACAGCGACCAAATACTTGACTCTGACTAGACAGTATCTGCACCTGATCACAGGCGTTCTGATTGGATATACCAAGTACAGAAGCATCTCCATTACATGGGGCAGTCAGAATACGCACTCTGCAGGAGGTGCGAACAAGAAGATGAGACCATCGAACATATCCTCTACGATTGCTCGACGCTCTCATTTATTAGAACATTTGTGTTCGGCGAGAATTGGCTAACACCAGCCATTATAAGAAAAGCGCCTCTTGGCGACGTTGTCAACTACATTAAATATGTAGGCTAGCTCACGAGCTAGGAGATGCCCATCTATTTAGGAGGATGGACAATGGGCCTAGTGACACCGTGGATTAACCCACCCTCCACACTTTACAGATCTCCAAAACACAATCGTAATTCGTCAATTACTAATTTAGAATATTAATAATTCGTTTATTAATTTCGAAACCTCAATACACTATTATTATTTTGTATTAAATTGGCCGTAAATCAAACTCACGACTCGTCAGTTACCGTTCATCGCCTTCAGCCACTCAGAGCGCTTGACCACGGAGACACTTAAGAAATTTGTTGCTATTGATATGATTCTAATAATCAATAAAAGAAAGTTTGTATAGGTAAGTTAAATAATTACCTAAGATGGACGTTTACTAGACATCAAAATACTACTAAATATATACTAAACTTAAACTTATATCCAAAACCGGACGTTCATTGGGTACGGATATGCAAGAACGGACCTACACTAGACGTTCGAATACGGTTTTGGACGTATTGACCCTCAAATGGATATAAAATAGACATCCATTACTATTCGGGAACCTCTTCTGAAATTTATTTTCAAACTAATAATAATATGAAGTTTCTTTTTAAAAAACTTGCGCAGAAGTTTCGCAAAAGTCTTGCAAGAGGCTTGAAAGTCTTGCGGCAAGATTAGGATTGGTCTTGCTTTTGCACATCACTAGTGATATGTCTTATTTGTAATTTTTGTATCAAATAATTAATATTTGCAGCACTTGTCAAAACGGAAAATGGGCGTGTACAGATCGTCAATGCGCAGCCGAATGTAGCGCATGGGGTGATTCTCACTACAAAACATTCGACGGAAAACGTTTCGACTACCAAGGAGAATGCGACTATGTCTTATCCAAAGCAAGTCTTGGTTCCGATTCATACCACGTATCAGTACAAGTAAGTCACACGTGTTTTAATAAACGATCTATTATCATTATATATTTATATACATTTTAGAATGTGCCATGCGGATCTCTAGGCACAGCCTGCTTTAAATCTGTTACTCTAAAAGTAACATCAGGTGATGGAACTGACGTCGTCAGTTTGGAAAAAGACAAGAGTTTACCAAGCTTGAAGACCTTCAAACACATTACGCTTAGAGAAAAGGGCAGATTTGTAATCGTAGAAGCTCCGGAATTGGGTCTAGTCATTCACTGGGATAGAGGAACTCGAGTTTACGTCAGGCTTAATCCAAAATGGAAGGCCAAGGTACGTACTTTGTAAAAAAATAAGTTATAGATGTCTACATTAATTATGTCCTTTCTAGACCAAAGGTTTATGTGGTAACTACAACGACAACGAAATGGACGATTTTCAAACACCATCCGGAGGACTTGCAGAAGTGTCACCAAACATTTTTGGAGACTCTTGGAGACTGCAATCCTACTGTTCCGAAGCTGCTGAAATTGAGGTAAGATTGCAGATTACATAACCATACGAGAACTCGTTAATTACCTAATTTAATTTTGCAGGACACTTGCTTGTCAAGACCCGATCGCAAAATATGGACAGTCAGAAAATGTAGCATCTTAAAATCTCAAGTGTTCGCTCCATGTCATTACGAAGTGCCAGTTCAATATTATATAGATAAATGTATTTTTGACTCATGTGCCTGTGATCAAGGAGGCGACTGTGAATGTATGTGTACCGCTTTGGCGGCTTACGCCCAGGAATGTAACAACAGAGGTGTCGCTATTAAATGGAGGACACCCGAATTTTGTCGTAAGTAAAAAATCAATCTGTTGCTGCAATTAAATATGTATTATTCATTTATCATTTCTAGCTATGCAATGCGATGAAACATGCACAACATACAGTCCATGCGTCTCTACATGCCCCGAAGAGACTTGCGACAATCTTATGATGAACAAAAAATACTCCAAAACATGCGGTGAAGACGTATGTATTGAAGGTTGCGTGCCGAAACCCTGTCCAGCAGGACACGTTTACAGAAACAGCTCACATTCTGAGTGTGTTCCAGTACACGAATGTAAACCAATTTGTATGATTGTCAACAACGTTACTTATTATGAAGGTGACCTCATGGAAGAAGATGATTGTCATAGTTGTTATTGTTCAAGAGAGGAAAAGAAATGTCGGTATGTTAAAATTAATACTTAATGTAATTTCTCTTTAATCTGGATGAAGTAGTACCTATCTTTTGAAGGAACGAAGATTTTTTTCTGCTATTAATTTTATTTTATTTATTTATTATTAACGGACAGTGCCCAATATCTTTACACTTTGGATAAAATATACAAACTTAAAACTAACAAGTGTACATAATAAGTTATATCTGCCTATAAATTAAGGATATAAATAAATATTTTTAACAAACAAATCTATTGTTGAAGACATTGGCCAATTTCATTGATCTGATCAATTATGAGTTTTCTGTGAAGTTGGTATTACAAGTTGGTAAGTAGAACAAGTTCATTGTTCTAGTTGATTTGAAAGGAATATCGAATTGCACGGTTAGAGCACCAACTAAGGAAAAAACCATTTATGCCTAGAATTTTAATTGTGTACAACAAAGCTTCATAACTAACTCAATCAAATGCCTTAGAGAAATCCGTATAGATTGATTGCATCTACCTGAATTCCTTTTTCCAAGGCATTAGATAGGTAATCGTGGTTAGTGAGGTCAATTAAAACATTTTTAAATGAAGGGTTAAGAATTTCACAAATTCAATTCTCAAAAAGTTTGGAGTAGTAAAGATACTAATTCGACGATAGTTAGAGACATTAAACGTATCTCCACTTTTAAAGCTGGGAGTTATATGATCTTGTTTTCCATGAACTAGGAAAAATGCCAGTACTCAGGAACTCGTTAAATATATTAAATAAATAGCCTAGCGAGATTAAAACTAAATTTTTAAAAATGAATGGAAGAGAGTCGGGCCAAGATAGATCCCTTATTTATATTGAGGTTATTTATATAAATATCTGATATTGACTGTGACTGTTACTAAAAAAGTTGCTATTTCCAGTATAATAGAGAGAAGAATTGGGAATTTCAAAAGTGCTATCAGAATATATTAATGAAAAATACTCAGTAAACATGTTTACTATATCATGACCTGAATCACCATACCATTGAATTGCTTTGAGCTTGGTATACCATTTTGATTTCTTTTTAAATTTATCAAAGTCCATAACTTTTTAACGTTTGTGAGCAAGGCGTTCTCAGTAAATAAAAAGTGTTGATAATAAAATGCAGGATTTAGTCTTTTACATTGTGACCGAAGTTCAGAAATTTTTTGATATCTAGGGATCGAGTAGTTTTGTAATATTTATGTTAGACCAGAGCAAACTGGCGCATTCGTTTGCAAAATTGTATTAATTCGTAATTTTTTTTAAATGTCCGGAAAGCTTTCCTGATTATAAAAGTGTAAGATGACACTCGATATCTGTTGATGTTTAAACAACGAAAAATTAATTAAGCCAGAAAAACTGCATTTTTTGCAATGAATTATTTTTTTTTATATTCTTTAGGATATTTCGAATAAAAAAGTCCTTACGCCCATCATCGTATCTTCAACTCTTTAATTGTTGAATGAATTTTTTAAAATCCAAAATTGAAAATTCTAATTTTCTTGAATTAAATAATATACCTTAAAATTTAAAATGCTATAATTTTAAATTTTTTACCGAATATTCAAACTATAATAAACAAAATAACCTAAATAAATTTTCAAAATTTTGTTTGTTGTTATGTTTTTTTTACGTTATAACAATATGCTTCCTACGCGCGTGTACTTTTAGAGAGAAGTACTTCTATCTCACTTCCAACTTAATGTATAAGATGGGTAAGAGAAAGCCCGATGACGCGCTATATCAATTTTTTGCTGTTTTTCAGCGGTAATAAGTTTAAAAAAATTATTATTAACACTTTGTTATATTTGCCGATTGTATCATGTGATTTTTTTTTACTTTTTTAGATACTTTCGATAAATTTTTTATTCATTGAAGTTAATAGAAATGTTCCACAAAAAAAATCATTGCTAAGAGCTGTCTAAAAAATACATTTTTCTCACTTTTTTTCCAATAAGATAAAAGAAGACAAACATACCTACCGTAATTCAAGGGAAATTTCTACCTGTTACGATGAGCATAGTTGACTCACCTGGTTTCTATTTTAAAACAGAGTACGCAATATACAGGGTGTCCCGAAATTAGATGGTCATATTTTAACAGCGTGATCTACATCCTAAAATAAGAATAAAAGTTCATATAAACATAGGTCCGAAAACGTCCGTTTTCGAGATACAGGGTGTTACAAGTGAAGTCCTGATGGCCTATTTTTGTGAATATTTTTTAAAATTTCTTTAGTCACTGGTATTCCAAAGTAAAAAAGAAATTAAATTTCTGATTTCACAGGCCTACTAATTATTGTTTACACTTTCGAATAACTTATCTTGAAAATTTCAAATGCTTTTTTCTTGAAAATGGTGCGTCCTAGCGAGATGAAATAATAGTAACTTTATTATAAAGAAAACATTGGTTTTCCAAATTTTATAGTCAAAAATGGTAAAAACTGTCAACAAAAAAAACTTTAGGCAATTTTACCCTAAGCCCCCCCTACTTTACCCACCTATGAAGATGATCAGAAACTGAGGTTTAGTCCATTAGATAGAGCGTAAAAAGGTTAACATTTGTATCAAATTTTACTTTATCTTTAAACGTTTAGAAAATATTTATAAAAGAGTGTCATCAGGACTTCACTTTTAACACCCTGTATCTCGGAAAAGAAACGTTTACGGACCTATGTTTATATGATTTTTTACTCCTATTTTAGGATGTAGATTATGCTGTTAAAATATGACCGTCTAATTTCGGGACACCCTGTATATGTATTCAATTTTTTCTATGGTTGTTAATTGTTTTCCACTATGATTATTTAATAGTAATAGTCATTTATTAAGAAAATTTTTACATAAAATTATAGTTTGTACATCTAACTTTTACATGAAATTGATTTTGGCAACATTCAATTAAACATCCGCATAATGCCACACACGTCATGTTTAGTTTTTGACACGAACAAGCTTTCGTTGCACAATTTTTTTTACAGTTGCACGGTTTTGCTAAGTCTTCAGGTAATGGCGGTTTTGTTAAATACAGTGGCTTTACTTGGTTATCACAGAAAACATAACCAAAACCAGAGAAATCTAAAGGTTCATATTGAAATTGATTTGAATTCCTTATTTTTGTTAAATGGAGAAAGGCTTGGATATTTTTGAAATAATAAAATTTTATAACCCCAGTAAGCCAACTATGTTCATTGTAACAGGTAGAAATTTTTCACAGATCACGACAAGTGCATTTGCCCTTTTTATCGTATTGAAAAAAAAAAGGTTGAAGAAGATTTTACTTCATAGGCAGTATCTGACAATAATTTTTTCATGAATAAAAATAAATGTTAAAAATAAATGTTTCTGTTAACTTTAATAAATAAAAAAGTTATCAAAAGTATCTAAAAAAGTAAAAAAATCACATGATACAAAACTATTAATCGGCAAATATAACAAAGTCTTATGAAAAATGTTAATAATAATTTTTTTAAACTTATTACCTCTGAAAAACAGCAAAAAATTGATTCAGCGCGTCATCGGGCTTTCTCTTACCCATCTTATACATTGAGTTGGAAGTGAGATAGAAGTACTTCTCTCTAAAAGCACACGCGCGTAGGAAGCATATTGTTATAACGTAAAAAAAAACAACAACAAACAAAATTTTGAAAATTTATTTAAGTTATTTTGTTTACTATAGTTTGAATATTCAGTAAAAAATTTAAAATTATAGCATTTTAAATTTTAAGGTATATTATTTAATTCAAGAAAATTAGAATTTTCGTCAATTTCGGATTTTAATACATTCATAACAATTTAAGGGTTAAAGATACGATGATGGGGTAAGGATTTTTTTTATTCGAAATATACTAAAGAATATAAAAAAAATTAATTCATTGCAAAAAATGCATTTTTTCTGGCTTAATTTTTCGTTGTAAGCAATAACATCAACAGATATCGAGTGCCATCTTACACTTTTATAATCAGGAAAGCCTTCCGGATATTTTAAAAAAAAATTACGAATTAAAACAATTTTGCAAACGAATGTGCCACTATGCCCTGCACTATGTGTAAGCTTTTTAGCCATGACACATTGCTTTAAATCAGAAGAAAACCATATCGGGATTTTTACATGTAATTTTTTCATTGGTACAAATGAGTCATGTCAATTGCAATAAACAAGATTTCATAAAAAATGGTAATCATATTATCCAAAGTTTTATTTAAAAGTAATTGATCCCATGATACCTGATCAAGAAATTGACCAATTCCTACATAATCAGCGGATTTTAAATCACGGTATAAGTCATCACTACTGAGCACTTCACTATTTAATAAATCTCTTTTTATTTTGGTCCAATTACTTGCTAAAAAGTTTGATATTGATATATTTAATTGTGTAATGCATAATTTAAAAAATATTGTTAATTCATATAATTTATAGATTTTCGTAATCTTTATTACCGACAACCGTTTTTTGATTAGTCATCAAAGTCAAAAAACATATCGTACAGAGTGAAATTAAAGATATTGAAATCACCCCACTACTCCCCCCTTTAAAAATAAGTATTTTTCAACAAAAATTTAACTTTTCGACCAAAACGGGTAACTTCTTCAGCTTTATCTTGTTTTTTGGGTTCGTCTGGAATTTGTATACCAGTATTTTGCGAATCTTTTTCAAAATTGTTCTCTATAAATGCAGGTGTCAGTCTTTCAATTGATATATTTTTTTCTTTTCCATTTATTAACAATGTAAAAACGCCATCTCTTCTATTCAAAACCTTATATGGTTCAATTGTAAGGTTTTTGTAACGGTTTTCTTAGCGCATCAACCCTAACAAATACAAATGAGCAAAACACATTTTTTTGGAATGAAAATTCTTCTTGAAGTGTGATTTGATGTTTCAGTTGCTTTAATTTGATTCATGGTTTCTCTTAAAAAGGAATTCCACTTGATTTTCTTTGAAATCTATTTCATTTAAAATTAAGTTACATGCACTCTTAATGTAGTACCGTAAACTAATTCGCTATTGCAATGCATTTAAATCTTCTTTAGGTGTACTTCTTAAGCCGAATAAAACAGTTGGAAGGATTTCTGACCATTTTTCAGAAAAAGTTAAAACACATTTTAAAGAAACTTTTAGTGTCCTATGAAATTTCTCAATCATGCCATTAGATTGTGGATGATAGGGAATTGTTCTTAGATGATTAAATCCCATCAATTTAAAAAATTCTCTAAAAAGTTCAGATTCAAATTGTCTCCCTTGATCAGTAGTGACTTTTCAAGGAACTCCAAATCTACAAATCCATCCATTATTAAACTCACGAGCTACGAATTCTGCCATTATATTGGTTAAAGGAAAAGTTTCAATCCACCTTGAAAATCTATCAATACATGTTAAACAATTTATAAAACCATTTGAGGGTGGCAAAGGGCCTATTAAATCTATAATAACATGTTCAAATCTATTATCAGGTATTTTAAATTTAGCTACAGATCCAATTGCATGTCTATTAATCTTCGATTTTTGGCAAGGTATGCACAATTTCGACCACTTCTAATATCCGTTTCTATTCTTAGCCAAACGTATTTACTTTTAATTAATTTAATATTAGCTCTAATTCCTGGGTGTGATAAATTATATTTATTTAAAGTTTCCCTTCTAGAACTAAGTGGAACAAAAGGTCTGACGTTTTTAGTTGATAGATCACAATAAATGTTATTATTACTATTCGGAATTTGATTTTTTTTTGAAATCTAAAGATGTACTTTCTTTTATTAGTTTTTGCAAATCTTGATCTTTGTTTTGTTCTTTCTCCAAATTTTCTAGATTTTCGTGATTATTTAAGCTAATCTCGGATATCCTAGAGAGCGCATCAGCTACTATATTTTGCGATCCCCGAAATATGCCTAATGTCATTGCAAAATTGACTGATATAATCTAGGTATCTTCTTTGCCTTGGTGAACAAATTTCAGGATTCTTCTTAAGCGTAGATGAATGGTTTATGGTCAGTATAAATAACAAATTCGCAACCCTCAAGCATCCAGCGGAAATGTTTAATACTTTCGTAGATAGCTAGGAGTTCTCTGTCGTATGTGCTGTATTTTATTTAAGACTTGGATAATTTTTTGAAAAGAAACCTAGAGGTTTCCAAATTTTATTTTCTTCAAACTGCTGCAATACCGCACCCAGAGAGTGGTCTGATGCATCTACCATTAAAGAAATTGGGCAAGAATTTGAGGGATGTGTTAACATTGTCACATTCTCTATGACATATTTTAAATCAACAAAAAATGATTTTTCCTGAATGTCAGTCTATTCTAATTTTCTATTTTGATTTGAATTGCCTTTTGGTACCTAATTAGTGAGGATCGATAAAAGTTAATCATACCAAAGAAACATCTATTTCCCTTTAAGTCAGTTGGGTTTTTGAATTCGCAAATAGCCTTAATTTTTTTTATTTGTAGGTTTAATTTATTTTTGAAAAACTACATAACCACGAAAATCGATTGTGGTTGGACCAAATTCGCATTTTTGATGATTTATTAGAATTTCATATTTTTTAAGCCTTGTAAATAATTTTCTAAGGTGAATCTTATATTGACTTTAATTCCTCGAAACTAACAAAATTTTTGGCATTTTTGGGCTTAACCCAAATGGCATTTTGAGGTATTCAAAAAGTCCAAAAGGTGTAATTATTACTGTCTTCTCTATGTCTTCTGGTGACACAGGAATTTAATGGAAAGCCTTTTTTGTTTTTAAGGTGGAATGTAAAATCTTTATTATTTGAAATCTGATAACGATCAGGTACAGTTTTAATGTTTAATCTCCGCATGCTCTCTATTCACCATTTGGTTTTCTAACCATGAGCTTTTTGATGGGCGAATTATTTTAGCTTCTAAAAGACTGCTGAATTCTTTATTTGCATCTGCTAATTTTTCTGGATTTAATCTACGGACCTTATAGTGAACTGGAGACCTTTCCGTAATTATTTAATGTGAAACATCTGCCATTTCAACTTTTTTGTCATTAATAGAATTTAATAGGTTAGGGAACTGGATTAAAATTTTTAAATATGGTGAAATCTTATTTATTGAAGTTATGTACATTCTCTAACTTTAGTTACTTGACAATTCGTTCAAATATCTCTGCTAATATCACAAATTATTTTGTTTCCTAGATCCACTAAAATTTTATTTGAACGTAAGAAATCTGCTCTGATTATGGGCCTTATCAATATTTGCTATTACAAATGTTCAAGTATAGTTTTTTCCAAGTCCTAAATCCACCGTTAAAGTCTTTTCTTTAAAGGTGAGCAGTTTTCCGCATATCAAATTTTATTTGAAGATCTGTCAGCATAACTTTGTTTCGGTAGGGCATATATATCGGCACCCGTATCTATTAAATAATCAATGTTGTTATTAATATCCTTAATATATAGACGACATTCTCTAGTTTCGCCAAGATTGTTTGCCGCCATTAACGACTGGCGGTTTCAAATGATCAAGGTGGTTCACACTTAAAAGCCTTAATCCCAAATCTTCGGTGGTAGTGGAATATTGGATTGCTTTTGTTATAAGAGGGTGACGATTATCTTGATTTCGATCTGAAATTACGTTTTCTAGGACATGGGCTAAATTCTCGTTCCCTAGATCTATTTCGGCTACATGATGCTTCATTCATTTTCTTGATTAATTCATCAAGTTTACTTTCGATTGATGACATTTCACGGTACAAATTTGTTCTGTTTTCATCATCTGATAATTTTGATTGAAATGCTCAAATAACTTGTTATTGGTAGCTTTTTAAGCCAAGCTAGTACAATAAAGTTTCTAGACATTTGTCCAGAGGCTAAATCTGTATTTTTTCTATAAAGTTGACTATTTCATATCGCCTAATTGACACTCTTTGAATAATTTCGTAATTTTGTCTTTTCAGTGATTTCATAGTTCTTTATTTATTGCGATTTGAGAATAGAGTAAGCATTAAGTGATTCTTGATTTTTGAACAGATTAGAATTTTGTGTAATAACAATTCAATGCTGTTAATACTTATCTAAATTTAATTGTTTTTGAATGAATTTTATTTATTTTAAAAATTGTTTCTATTGTGTTTAACCATAGCTCTGGTTCATGTTTCCAAAAGGTAGGCAAAAAAATAGATTTAGCACGATGGAACTCACAGTCATTTTTTATTGTTATTTTTTCCTGAATGGATGTACATTTAACATTATCACCATTGTTAGTTGGAGGTAAGTCAGTTGGAGGTGTAATAATTTGCGGACTTATTAATTAGACTTTCTAATTTATTAAAACGTTCATCACTAGCTTTCATGATCAACATTAAACGATTGCATATATTTTCCAAATTTTGTATTTTATTTTCTAATATTTAATTTCTAAATCCTCATTTTCTGGTAGTTCTAACTTTTTTAAACATTCTCTGAAGTCGTATTCGAAAGGATTAATCTTATTTGCATCATACCTTTTTTACTATTTCTCCTTCTTACGTTACTTTCATATCTGAAGCAGTCCCACATGGTGTTATTCCAAAGTAAACAAGTATTTTGCTTAACTGCTCCTTTGTCAAATTCTGCAGATATTTGAATATGCTTAATGTGCAGTATTCCTATTTTTCCAGTTGAGGTCACCAATTGTAGTAATCATACAAAATTGTTTTTTGATTAGTCATCAAAGTCAAAAATCATATCCAACAGGGTGAAATTAAAAAGTAAGATATTGCAATCACCACATTCTGTTTAAATTTAACTGAACTTTAATAAATTTTGAGCTATAAAATTTCAAAAACTATTTTTACAAAAATAACCATCTGCACTTGATATTTAAATCATTGTCTACGTGTTTATATAGCTAATAATCATAGCATAACTAGTTAAATATTTAAAATACTTATAAAATAGAATAGGTTTAATGAATACTCTGTGACACTCTAACTGTATTTTTTTATTCACTGAAATTATTAAAGAGGTTCCAAATTTAAACAAGATATGTAGGCAAGTATTTCAATATCTTTAATTTCATATTTCTTTCAGAGGAGAACCATGCACGACTACAGCATTGCCATCTACAACGCTACAGAATGAACAATACGTAAAATGTGAAGAAGGTTGGACTAGTTGGATTAATCAAGACCAACCAAGAGATAACGATGAACTTAGGACAGTGGAAAATGAACCTCTACCTTCTTCATTAGTTTTGGTAAGTTTCAAAGTGCACCGTTTATAATATACCTAACAATATTAGTAAAACGGATTCCTAAGAAATTGACTTCCAAAGATATATACCGATGTTCTCATATTTTTTAGCTGAACTTGAAGGATTCTGCTAAGTGTGGTACAGAAATGATAACAGCAATAGAATGTCGCACAGTTAAAGACGGTGTTTCTGCAAAAGACACAGGATTAGATGTTGAATGTTCTTTGGAACACGGTCTGATTTGCAGATCAGATGTTAAAGGAAAAAAAGTTTGTCCAGATTTCGAAATCAGAGTTCTATGTGATTGTGGTAAGAAATGTTTTATTATAATCGTCACAGATAGAAAATGTATCAGTGCCTAAATATTAAATTAATAAAATATTTTAATTTCTAGGAGAATCAACAACTTTTATACCCCAAACAACAGAAGCTGAAATCGTCACAAACGCTCCTGTCTGCATTGTTGGAGAAAGCAAACTAGATGTATATGATTGTACTAAATACTACATGTGTGCTTTTGGACAAACTGAGAACCGTTGGGTCGAGGAAACTTGCGCTAAAGGCACTTTATATAACTCTGTCACAAAATCTTGTGAATGGGCAAGAGAAGTTTATCCTCTTAGACCAGAATGCGTAAGAACAACAAACCAACCAACAACAGAAGGTGTAATAGTCACAAATGCTCCTCCTGTATGTTATGTTGGAGAGAGCAAGCTTGATTTATATGACTGTGCCAAATATTATGTATGTACATTTGGACCAACCGAGAATCATTGGGTAGAAAAAGTTTGCGGAAAGGACACTTTATATAACCCTGTTACAAAAACGTGCAATTTACCAGGAGAGGTATATCCGGTTAGACCAGAATGCGTGAGTTCAACAGAACAACCAACAACTGAAGCTGAAATAGTTACAAAAGCTCCAGTCTGTTACGTTGGAGAAAGCAAGGTAGATCCCTATGATTGTACAAAATACTACGTATGTACTTTTGGACAAACAGAAAACCATTGGGTAGAAAACGTTTGCCAAAAGAACACTTTATACAACCCTGTGACCACGACATGCGATCGGTCAAATGAAGTGATACCTGTTAGACCCGAATGCCAAAAAACAACCACATATGTGCCTACTACTGTTTTTGAATTAATAACCACCCAAGCTCCTGGATGTATTCAAGGTAAAATATAATATAATAAAATAATTACTAATAAAAATATATCTATTAAAAAAAATTTCAAATATAATTTTCCTTATGAAGAGTCAAAAAAATAAAAAATTATTAAATTACTAAATAGGAAATTTAAAATCCTTTAAAATGAGGTATCACCTGTATTCTTATTTTGTTTAAAAATGTTACCCTCCAAGAGGTTGAAAGGAGGAGATATTATGTTAAAATTTGTCCACTACATACTTATGGATCTATATAATGTATTTTTATACATCACTAGAGGGTTGCAATTTTTTCTTTAAAAGCAAACTGTGTACCCTTAATCTTAAAATTAAAACGAAAGTTGCTAGACTAAAAAAAAACGAAAAACATCTTAAAATAATTGTCAAAAATCCGACCTATTTGTAAAAAAATACTTTATTATTATTTTACATTGCTTATTTTTTCTTCTGTCAAATGTGTCAAATTTTGTAATTTCAACCAATAAAAGCTCGCGATCCTAGATAATCATTGAGTTTTACACTGATTAAACCATTTCTTCATTTTTGTCTTTTGATTAAACTTTGTTTACCTTTTCAACTGACAATTATACATAATTTTAAAACTTTTAAAAGACTAAAATGTACCTTAAATCTTTGTTAATGCATTTCTCATATATACCGGCTGTATAGAGGTATTTGAAGATTTGAGAACAAATCTGAAACGGCGTCTGGGGTAGTATTCTCGAATGTCGAATACCTCGATTCGCATGCGAGATTAGTAAAATGTCGAATAGCAACTAGGTGATTTTAAAAAAGTGTATTCTCGAAAACAGCATACGACAAATGTCACGTGAATTCAACACGAGTGGTCTAAAGTGCTCGAATTTAAATTCGTATGCGACTTTGTGGACCGTAAATATGGATGTGGCAGATTTTGATGAAATTAACATTTGCTGGCTATTAAAGAGTGACATCATAGAAGGAAGAAGTTTGTCTATAAAAATCCCTTTTAAAATAATTATGTGTTATTTATCAAGCATTTTCGACTTTATAAGGCAGCGTTTCGTGTTTCTCAAACTTTTTTGGCGACGGAACCTTTTTTAAAAGTGAAATATTTGACGGAGCCCTAAACACATTTCTAAAAAAAAAGTCCCTCCCTTTTGTGGCGATAGTACTGCTTGTTTTTTTTTATTATGACTATTATTTACTTCACGGAGCCCTCACAAAGGCTTTGCGGAGCCCCAGGGCTTCGCGGAGCACACTTTGAGTAACGCTGTCTAAGGAGTCAACGCGGCTCTTGATAGATATTGTAACTATAGCATGTTATAATGCCCCCAAGTATAGAGTATCAGCAGGATGTTTTCGTGACCTATTTTAATATTTCGTTTTCTGATTAGCATTGCAATATTGGTGCTCTTCCATATTTATAGAAAAAAAAAACGCAGTTTAGAGACATTCTGCTATTTGCTTCAAAATTGTCTAAATTTCTTAGAGGGGCTCTAATAAATAAACAGAACACAGAACATCCACTAATGTTGACAGATGACATAATTTGCTACGTTTCCACATAAAATCCTTCGCATTATTTCTCGCTGGTGATTTTAGATTCACTCTTTTTTGAGAATACGATTTTTAACAACCATGCGAATTTGGTATGCGAAATTTGTCGTGTGCGACAATTTTCTTGCGAGATTCGAGAATTCTGCCCCTGGGGTAGTAGGTATTCTCGAGTCACGAATATAGATTCGCATGCGAGATTTATGATTTGTCTCACTTGGTTTTCGTTCAACAAAGTGAGACACATTGTAAAACACGTATGCGAATGTCGGTATTCGTGATTCGAGAATACTACCCCTGGGGCTCGATTCTCGAGTTCATTGGAAAATTTTCCCATGGGAAAAGATTCCACTACTTATATTCCCATGGTAATAGGTTATGCAATTCTCGAACTTGTCGGAATAGACATTCCCATGGAAATAATAGTTTCACGTATGTCTGATATTAAGTTCACGAATATTTCGAAATAACCAATAACATTAAAGATATTTTAAAATTTACTGTTGGTATTATTTGTATTTGTTGTGGTTTTTGGGTAACCGATTACCTGCCGAGCCTCTGCGCTGGAGCAGATGCCGTGCCGAGCAATCGCTAGCTTGACCGAGGACAAGTGAAAATATTCGATTATGTATAATTAAAACTTATCGAGTTATTTTTAGTTTTTCTTTTCACATATTGAAAAAAGAATAAGTAGCTTTTGTATAGAAGAGCAACGAAAGTTTCGAGAAACTATATATATAAGAAATTCTTTCGTTAACGGAAATAATAAAATTTTCGAAAAGGTCTTATTAAATTTACTACAAATTTCTCAATTTGTGTTACCTATTTGCCAGTCCCTTAGCAGCTCCCACAATTTCTAACTAATTTAAGAAAATCAGTTTCTTAGTGAAAGAGAGGTAAAAATAATATACCCACATAAATAAAATAATATCAATTTATAAATACACAAAAAACATGTTTTAACTACAATTTCACCAAAAATCCAAGATATCCAATAATCTTTGGTTATGTCTTAGTCTTTCGTCAAATTTTCGACTTTAATGCGCAAACTCTAGTACAATTCCCATTGGAAAACACAATTTCCAATGCTCGCAAGCAGGGGAATATTTTCCCATACTTCTCATTGGAAAATATTCCACCGCTTATGCCGAGAATACGAAAACTGAATTCCCATGGGAAAATTTTATTTTCCCATGGGAATAAAAGTCGAGAATCGACCCCCTGGTCATCAAATTGCTGTCTAGGAATCTCGTCAGTCAATATCGTCATGATCTAGCGGTAAGGGCATTTGTTTGAAAAACAAAGATATCTGTGTTCGAATCCTGGAGACAACAGACTTTTTTTTCAAATCTCCAAGTATTTGTTTTCACTTTTGGGGTTCGGGAATGGTCTTAATAATTCGTAAGGTGATTTTTTGTTTGCTTCCGAATTTTTAAATTATTCTAAGACTTATTTCAGATATTTCTGACTATTCGGATTGCGATTTGCGGTCTATGATATATTAAATTCACAATTTTCAAAATTATTGTTAATTCTATTGCACAAAATTAAAATAGGTAATATTTATTAGTAAAACTAACATGTTTTTGTTTGTGTTAAATCACTTATAAGACACATAAAACTAACCCATATCATCACTCAATTTTTAACCATTAAACATCATTTTTTGAATATCTAAAAATTTTAAATTAATATGAATTAAGCAGATCAAGTTTAAGACAAAGAAATCACAATAAGATTTATAAAATTTAGCAAATGTCAAATAATAATCAACTTTATGTCGCAGCAGTTATGCATGATCAGCTCTTACAACTGTTGACATATTCATTAAAGAAAATCATATTAATATAAAATACATTTATAGAATGTTTAATAAACACTTTTAGATTACCTACTCGAAATATATTTTTCATACAAAATGATTCAAAAAATAATCTTTTCACATTTGATCTATTAAATTTGGAGGACTCGTAGTATTACCTATGATAAATTTATAGTTAAACAAAGAATTAAAACAAACCTACCAGAATTGCAGCTTTAACACTTTGAATTTGACTCCACTATAAAAAAATATATAATTAACTAAACATTTTAGGTGAAAAGAAAGAAGATAGAGACGATTGTGCCAAATATTATATCTGTTTGAATGACAACAGTGGATATCGTTGGGTACAGGATATCTGTATAAATGGATCCCTTTACAATCCTGTTAAACACACGTGCGATTATCCACGTGAAGTTATTAAAGTAAGTTAAAGCATAAAATGATATAGGGAATAGATATACCGCATAAGTACCGACACAGAACAGGTGCATGTTGGAGAACTCAAAATATGATGATTTTATCGCAATTTACCTCTATACCGAGTTGTACCTCAAAGGAGTTACGAAAGTGGGGCCATGAATTTCGAAAAAATATAACCGTTTAACTTAAAAAAATCTATATTTGATAACTTATCTAGACGTTTCATGAGTAAGAAATAATTGAAATATAATTTAATTGTAACTGTAGACTGTTACACGTCTGCGTACTAAAAAACTAATAATAAAGTATCTCAAGAATCTAAATTGACCCCTTTAATTCCCATTACGTAGTAACGAACTTCTTTTAGCATCTTCTAATTTTACGCGTTGCTCTGCAGTACTGTAGATGTAAGTCTTCACTTCAACAATCCAATATCTTACAGCGAATAAAGACCCAAAAACAGACCGTACATTTTTCTAGTAAAGGTGGCTTTCAAATTATCTCCAACTCAAAAAGATGGGTATTTTCATCACATCTAAAAACAAAATCCATTTTTTTGTCTTTCTCCAAGTCTGGTAATGTATATTTTACCCCTGTATCCATTCTGATCCAGTCTTGCCATTTGAATAATTATTTTCCTCTTATGGATCTTTTTATATATCTATAAGATAATTAAATGGGTCACACTGTTCTTTTATTATAGTCCAACGGTCGTGTTATGTTAGGCTTCGTTAGAGCTGTGATAGTTTTCTATGTTACCATTTTTATGTGCCCAACGAAGTTTATGGACATATCCATATGGATACAGACGTAATTTAGTGAACTCTGCTTCTACTTTACTCCACTCTACTATAAAGTGAACTGGGGAGTGAGCTTTACCCGAGAACAATCTTGTATAGTTCAAACATAAAGAGCACCACTATCCTGTAATTATGCACAATGTTGTTGTGTTTTATGTGATTTAATTTCTTTTTTATAGAGTAAGGTATCGGGGATATCCCATCTACTCTACTCTGTTGCTTCTAATGAAAATTCGCCACTCCTTTCAGTTCGTTTGCTTCTTTGGTAATATTTGTCATACACTTTTGTTTCAATTTTATTTAGGTCTACTTCTTCTTTTTTATCTATGTGGTTCTAGAGAATTTTGAATTAATATTAATATACTTTCAACAGATAAGACCAAGTTGTAAATACACCACAATTCAAGAATATAAAACCACCACCTACAGAACGACTACCGGCGAATCAAGTGAAGAAGAAGAGTTCTTTACCAATGCTCCGAGTTGTATTGTCGGAGAAACTAAAGTAGACTATGACAACTGCTCTGTTTACTTCGTTTGCACACCTGACATGGAAGACAACAAATGGGTGAAGATGAATTGTGCAGAGGGTACTTTGTACAATCCTGTTACTAATGTATGCGATTGGCCAAATATTGTTTACAAAGTTAGACCAGCATGTAAGTGTTTTATTTTATTTTATTTAGGTTAAAGCTTAGAATATAGAGGCCGTACATGTTTAACCGGCGCGAATGTTGCCAATTCCTAAAGAAAGGTTAACGGAGTGGGGGAACTGGGAGGAGACCCAAACTCTGTGGCAGAGACGGACTTGGTCTATTAGCATCATAAACTATTAGATTTACTTAAAATATGTTGTAATATGAAATAAAATTAACTTAATTTTTTAATATCAAACAGATGCAATGACATTTTATGTATCTAAAGAGAAGGCAAAAGTTTTTTATAGAATATTTCGTTAACGTTTATTTACTAATCACTTTTCTGCAAGAGACTACAATAAAATGTTGAAATAGAATATTGTCAATCGAACAATATGTGGTACTTATTTTCTTCGATTATTATAATGGCAGTATGTGCTGAACACTATAAACCTAATCAGTGAGCATTCCTTATTAGTTGAATATTATGTTTTTTCTACGGCTATTTCATATTATTAAAAATTAGTCAAAATGAAAAAATGCTGTTTTGTATTGTAACCTCAGAAAAAGGCATATTTAAGCTTTTTTCTTTAGGAATACTAAATATAGAGGATATGGTAAATAAAACTTTAGAAATACATATTTCTAAGAACTAGATTCATCATTTTAAAATTTAAATCTAATAAAAGTCACCCGGTTGCTACAAATGGGCGATTATCGAAATGAATGATCGATTATTGAAATTAATCAATTATTTTCGATCAATCGATTATTTTCAAATAATCAATTTTTTCCTAATTCTTTTAAAATCGATTATTTTAAAAAATAAAAAATGATCAAATAATCTTAAGTAAAAAGCCGATTAACCGACAAATCGATATTTCTAAAAAAAATAACCGAATTATCCATTATTTCAAATAATCCAATATTTTCAACCAATTGATTATTTTGTATTTTCTTTAAAACCGATTTTTCGATTATCTTTGAAAAATCGAAAATAAGCTAAAATAATTAAAATTATTCAAAAATAATCGAAAATAATCAAAAATAATCAAAAATAATCAAAAGTAATCAAAAATAATCAAAAATAATCAAAAATAATCAAAAATAATCAAAAATAATCAAAAATAATCAAAAATAATCAAAAATAATCTCAAAAATAATCAAAAATAATCAAAAATAATCAAAAATAATCAAAAATAATCAAAAATAATCAAAAATAATCAAAAATAATCAAAAATAATCAAAAATAATCAAAAATAATCAAAAATAATCAAAAATAATCAAAAATAATCAAAAATAATCAAAAATAATCAAAAATAATCAAAAATAATCAAAAATAATCAAAAATAATCAAAAATAATCAAAAATAATCAAAAATAATCAAAAATAATCAAAAATAATCAAAAATAATCAAAAATAATCAAAAATAATCAAAAATAATCAAAATAATCAAAAATAATCAAAAATAATCAAAAATAATCAAAAATAATCAAAAATAATCAAAAATAATCAAAAATAATCAAAAATAATCAAAAATAATCAAAAATAATCAAAAATAATCAAAAATAATCAAAAATAATCAAAAATAATCAAAAATAATCAAAAATAATCAAAAATAATCAAAAATAATCAAAAATAATCAAAAATAATCAAAAATAATCAAAAATAATCAAAAATAATCAAAAATAATCAAAAATAATCAAAAATAATCAAAAATAATCAAAAATAATCAAAAATAATCAAAAATAATCAAAAATAATCAAAAATAATCAAAAATAATCAAAAATAATCAAAAATAATCAAAAATAATCAAAAATAATCAAAAATAATCAAAAATAATCAAAAATAATCAAAAATAATCAAAAATAATCAAAAAAATAATCAAAAATAATCAAAAATAATCAAAAATAATCAAAAATAATCAAAAATAATCAAAAATAATCAAAAATAATCAAAAATAATCAAAAATAATCAAAAATAATCAAAAATAATCAAAAATAATCAAAAATAATCAAAAATAATCAAAAATAATCAAAAATAATCAAAAATAATCAAAAATAATCAAAAATAATCAAAAATAATCAAAAATAATCAAAAATAATCAAAAATAATCAAAAATAATCAAAAATAATCAAAAATAATCAAAAATAATCAAAAATAATCAAAAATAATCAAAAATAATCAAAAATAATCAAAAATAATCAAAAATAATCAAAAATAATCAAAAATAATCAAAAATAATCAAAAATAATCAAAAATAATCAAAAATAATCAAAAATAATCGAAAATAATCGAAAATAATCGAAAATAATCGAAAATAATCGAAAATAATCGAAAATAATCGAAAATAATCAAAAATAATCGAAAATAATCAAAAATAATTGAAAATAATCGACAATAATTAAAAATAATCGACAATAATCGTAAATAATCGAAAATAATCGAAAATAATCGAAAATAATCGAAAATAATCGAAAATAATCGAAAATAATCGAAAATAATCGAAAATAATCGAAAATAATCGAAAATAATCGATAATAATCGAAAATAATCGAAAATAATCGAAAATAATCGAAAATAATCGAAAATAATCGAAAATAATCGAAAATAATCGAAAATAATCGAAAATAATCGAAAATAATCGAAAATAATCGAAAATAATCGAAAATAATCGAAAATAATCGAAAATAATCGAAAATAATCGAAAATAATCGAAAATGATCGAAAATAATCGAAAATAATCGAAAATAATCGAAAATAATCGAAAATAATCGAAAATAACGAAAATAATCGAAAATAATCGAAAATAATCGAAAATAATCGAAAATAATCGAAAATAATTAAAAATAATCGAATATAATCGATTAATTAGAAAGCCGATTAACCGATAAGTCGATTTCTCCAATAACCGAATTATTGATTATTTTAAATAATCAATTACTTTCGATCAAGCGATTGTTTTTATATAATTTATATTTTTTCGTATATCCTTTAAAATCGACTATTAAATTATCGTTAAAAAATCTAAAATAATCGATTCATTTAAAAGTCGATTAACTAATAAATCAATTTAAAAAAAATAACTGAATTATCCATTATTTTAAATAATCCAATATTTTTGATCAAGCGATGGTTTTTAAATAATCTATTTTTTCGTAGTCTCTTTAAAATCGATTATTATAATGTTAAAATGAAAAATTATCGATTATTCGAAAATAATCGATAAATTAAAAAGGTGATTACACGATAAATCGATTTTTCGATTATATGTTTAGGGTTCTGTCAAATATTTCGCTTTTCAAAAAGGTTTCTTACCAAAAAAGTTTAAAAAACACTGTACTAGATCATATTGAACATTTCACTGTTTTAATACTTATTGTTCAAGATTCACTTCCAATTTGACCGAAAATAAGAGGAAATTAAAAATTTTAATTAGGTCATCTTGTATTTTTTTATAAAAATAAAATTTCGTTAGCAACTGTGCTTCTTTATTTCTAATTGAGGTACCAAAAAGGGTTAAAAACTACCTTTAGTGAATATTTTTATAAAACTACTTTTTAAAAGCAAAATTTCTTTAACAACAATGCCTATTTACTTCCTATTTACGTATGACTAAATTAAATGTTCAAAATTGTGTCCTTTCGTAATTTATGTAATTACTATGACATCTGTTTTCTGAAATATTTGATGCGGATCTGAAATAGTCAGCCTAAAGGATCATATAGCGGCTTTAAGGCAAAACAATAAATATTTACCGGTGAAAACGAATATACTTATCTTTTATAATATTGACACTTATAAGTATATACAATTTTTCACGATACGTCGTTGCATTTTTAACTTGAAATTGCTCATAATACTAACAAAAAATTCCATGATGAGTCAACTCACGCGGAGATGATCGTAAAATAGAAATTCGGGCAATTTGGGTGGCCTCATGGAAACAATAGGTGGATTACTTAAGGTTGAAATAGACAACATGCGCTATGTGCAATTTCCGGTCTCTTTAATGCAAAAAAAAACACACAAACAAATTGGTTTATTGTTTTTCGAAGAATTCACAGTTAGCACACTGACGTTAATATATCTAAAAACAGCTTTATAGATTTGTGTACATATTTATTGTTTGTTAATTGATTTTATCATGGTTAAAACCAACATTAAAATATTTTTTCTTATTTTTTTTAGGCGAAGAAAAAGAAGTAATAACAATTGCACCAGGTAAATGTTGTTTTAATAAATTAATAGTTACCTATTTAATATAATTTTTTTCTCTGGGTTGTCTTGGAGTTGAGGTCCTAAATCTTAAACAGCCGTGAATTTCAAACTAACTCTTTAGATCTAATTTTCAATAGACAGAGATAGGCCAAAGAGAACTCCCATTATTAAGAGTACTCATGGGTCTGTCTCTATCCAGGTAAGTTTTCCCACCATTTCTAACATTTTTTAAACATCCACTGTTTATGTGTATGTTCTGATAGCTCTCTTTGTGACACCATAGGAGGGCTCTGGCCTTTGAGGCTCCTCGAGCTAGTAAATTAGCTTCTTCGTTGCCCTTATATCCTCTGTGGCCTGGTTCCTAGGCTCAGGTTAGTTTGTTTTGATTACAAGATCTGTTAGGGCTTCCAAACAGTCCCACGTAAACTTTGAGAAAACCTGCTTGAAATTGAGTGACTATCTGAGTCTATAACAATGATGTTTTCATTTACTTTATGTCTTAATACCTCTTTTGCGCAGTGATGTATTACTGCTATTTCTGCCTGTTTACCTTAGCTCAGTTAGATTCTTGTATTTGGCTTGGTACTTTATATACCTACTCCTAAACCTTCGTGGGTTTCGGAGCCATCTGTATACTAGGTGAATTCTGCGTGAATAGGAGGTCCTCCTGTCTATGCTCTCCTATCTGGCATACTTACTTTATATTGCTTTTGAAAGCTATATTTTTGGAGCATTTCTCATTATTTGATCCTTCTGCAAATCTTTATATAACTTTCTGTAATCACGGCCATTCAAACTACTTATGGATGATGGACCTTTGTGTAGTCTATATGTGACAGACCTGGTTTCGCCTTGAATAAATACGTGCAGTGGTATTAGGTTTAGCAGGACTTCTAGGGCTGTTGTTTAGGTCGTTATAATAGCTTCTGTGACAATCAGGCATACTTTCCTTTCAATACCGTTGAGCTGTTGAATGGTTCTAGCTGAATATACTTGTTTTACATTTTTATTTTATTTCTTTCTTAATTTAAAATGAGCAAGTAACTTTATCTTTAAACACGTTACATACTTTCCTTTACCTGATGAAGACCAGTCTTACTGTCAGTCCCTTGTAGGTCCTTATGGAAGAGTGCACTCACCAACGAGACCATAGAGCACAAGGCATCGTAATAGATAAGCAGGATACATTAATTTTGCCCATCTCATTCTTTTTTTGGTCGATAACTTATTTAATTTAAAGAAAAGATTGTAGTCTTTGATTTATTTGTCATCTAGGCAAGCTGGGAATAAAGTAATAACATAGTTCACTGTCATTCGATAAATCTTTCAAGAAGTATTTTCTCTAATTTTAGCAAAAAACATTAATTCAATAGGTTTGCAGGTACTCTTGCTAATAAAACATACTCTAGCAGTGCTCCAAGAGGTTGGAGCGTGTCCAATAGATAATATTAGGTTGATGGACAATGTATTTGTTCCTTCTTGAGGTTTTAGCAGCGAATATTATTCATAGATACTTAAATTTTCCACTTTACGAAATCTATTATATTTTTCCTTCGGGCGTCTTTATTGTTATGCTGCCCTGTGTATAAAATACTTAGGTATCTCATTTTGTTTTGTTTGTTTCTTTTATCTTCAATTCGTTCAATTTTACTATATACTTGTAGATGTTTCTCATTTAATTATTTTTTTAGATATATGTGGACCTGGATTAGTTTACGACGACTGTGCTGTAGAATGTGACAAGTTATGTTTATACTACGACTACTTGGTTAAGAAAAAAGGACTTTGTAGGGGTGACGTTAAATGTGAGGCAGGATGTGTATCCGCCGACAAACGCAAAACTTGTCCTAAAGGACAAGTCTGGTTTAACGAAAACACGTGTGTATCAGAAGAGTCCTGTTTATGTGTTTCGGAAGAAGGAAAACCAATGAAGGTAAATTTTATAATTATACATATTGTAAGGTTTGATTAATTTATTTATAGTTTATTTATTTATTTAAAACACTTTATTTATAACGTACTAATTAATTTATATAATACTTAGACACTATTATAACTCACAATTCTAATTTATATATTACAATTTGTCTTTACTGCCCAATACTTCATTTGAATCTCCCCGTCCGTCGACAAACTCGCGCAATTTGTATAAAGCCAGCTCTGTACTAGAATACTATCGGCTTTTCACAATGATCTGGAACTGCCTCTCTATGACTCATACGCCGCAAAGGTATCACTCCGGTAGTTTCTCGAAGCGGTGTGTTTGTCTCTATATAGCTAGCGTTAGACTTCATACTGCGGGCAAGGAGTAAACAAGGAACAGAGATGGCTTTCGCATCACAATATTAAATTAAAGGTATTCTTTAATTGAAATCGCCTGTTCATGCTGTTAAACATAAGACTGAACCTTTCTTTTAAAAAAAATATATAACAGGGTATAAATTACAATCAATTAACATAAATATAGAGAAAAATAAATACAGTGTGGAACAGCCAAATGAAATAAATTCGGTAACAAATAAATGGGGGCGTGTTCGGAAAAATTCTCGGACACGTCCATTGGTATATTTACTTGCGAATGTTTTTAACAAAAACTTTTTCTAAAGGAGTTGTAATGTAACAGTGGCCAATACCAACTTTCTTATTATCAAGACTTAAATGGGAAATAAGTATTGAGTGTGTTGTACCGAATTTCTGAAATCAAACAATTTTATTTTGTTAATGTTAAATTTTGCAATAAATCTGAAAACATTTAATATTTCCGAAACAGTTAGGTATAGAACAGTACATAATATATGTCTAGAAATTTCTGAAGAATCCCAAAGATGAAAAATATATAGTATGTTAAATTTAAAATAAGAAAGTTGGTATTGGCCAATGTTACATGATACTCTGTATAAGAATTTTTTGTTAAAAAAAATTGCGCAGCTTAAAATACCAATCGATGTGTCCAAGCGTTTTTCTGAACACGCCCCCCATTTATTGATTACCGAATTTATTCTATTTGGCTCTTCCATACTATAATATATACCATTTGCATCATACTCTCCTGGACTTCCCAATGTTAGCCCTCTAGTAAATAATTTAAAAATTACATATCTTAAACTAATTATTGACCGTCATTTAAAATGAGCGCTAGAAACTAAATATGTTTCAAAGAAGTTAAGGGGGGTCCTTTAAAAGTTTAAATATTTAAGAGAATTTTTAGATTTATATCATTTGAAAATAATATACTATTCATCAATATAATCACATCTTAATTATGGAACCATTGGGTTAAAAGGAGTCAATGACTGTCACTTATATTGGGTATAAGTAAAGTGACCATATTTTGAAAACCGTCAACGAATTCTATTAAAAAAGTCACCATTCTTTTTTTTAGTCGTACAAAATCGGGACACAAGTAGGACAAAATCGTGACAAAAGCGCGACAAAAGCGAATCGAAAGCATGACAAAAGCTGGACAAAATTGGGACAAAATCGGGACGAAAGGGGGAAGAAAGCGGGACGAAAGCGGTACAAAAGCGGGATCAAATCGCTTTTTTACATCGGGACATACGTTAAATTGGGATACATGTTAAATGGGGACACATGTTACATCGGGACACATGTTAAATCAGGACTAGTGGCTTTAAATCGGGAGTATCCTGCTTAAATCGGGATGGATGGTCACTTTAGGTATGGGGTATTATTGATATACTGCAACGTAAAAGATATATTGTGCCAGCTTCTGTTGCTGATGTAGGAAGAAAATGTCCCGATGCCTTTAAGGACCTTTCCAATTCTATCTTCTGAAGGAAGTTCACTTCAATGGAAATGTCATTCTTTTCTTCCTCACATAATCTACACTTACTATGTTTTACTACTCTCAGATTACTAAGGTATTTTTTAAGTTGTCAATTCCTGGTAACGATCCCTGTTACAATGCGTAGCCTGTTCTTGCTCAGGCAGATACAGGCTTCCGATATTTTTTGAATATATTCACCAGAAAATATCTTAGCTTTAGCTACAATATATTATTCCAATTGTTAGTTCTTTTACTGTCCAATTCTATTTTAATATATTGTTTAAGTGTTTAAGTCCCTTTCCTTGCGAGACTATTTGCAATCTGGTTACCCTTTACCCCGTTATGTCCCGGGACACAAGTGAGAGTAACTGTATTTTCCTCGCCTAGCTCATTCACTTTTTCTAGGCATATCCAGACCATCTTTAAGCTGATTACGTAAGACCTCAGCGCTTTGACGGTTGCTTAGCTATTCGCTCCGCGCGTGACAGCAGCGCCAAATCATTTTAGGTACTAATGGACTATTTCTGTGTATACTGACAAATACAATTTTTAATAGAATTCGTAATTAAAAAGAATATATTTTAATTTTGATAAAAGTATATGGATTTGTAAAACAAGTAAAACATTAATTTTTTATTATTATTATTATTATTATTATTATTATTATTATTATTATTATTATTATTATTATTATTATTATTATTATTATTATTATTATTATTATTATTATTATTATTATTATTATTATTATTATTATTATTATTATTATTATTATTATACCTTAAATTAGAAAAAAATAAGTTTAATCAATAAAAATCAATAATAAAATATAGACAGGCAACAGTATTTACGGGAAAATGTATGAGAAGTTGCCTAAGTCTAATAAGTTGTCTTTGAGGAACGTCAAAATGAAAAAATACCATTAAATAATAGCGTGAAGTTAGAAATCTTGAAGTCTAGTCCTTGGTGAACGAACATTTTCTAGTATTACTGTGATTATTACAAAAATAAAGGTAATTTTTCTTCTTATTGTACACCTATCCATTTATTTCTTTGATTCAATTTCCACTTTGCTACTGAAAATTTTTATAATTTTTACTGTTTTTTTTTTGCTAGTATTTTTACAATTTTCTACACAGCAACTCCGGTTGTTTATTGTATTGGTTTTACCTACTTTTTTGAAAAAGTAGTAAAATGTATACGTGTATTTGATATGCCAAAATTACAAAATATCGCCCTAAAATGCACGAATTATCCGCAGCTAGCGTTAGTATCGCTTTGGCTTCCCCTACCATGACTTCGCACTGAGCGAATAGGACATGTTGATAATCTGTTGTCTGCGATAGTTGACTGTCATTTAAAAAAATCTAAATGAATTATTATAATAAATGATGAGCTCTATAAAATTAGTAATTTCATGGAAAAAATTACGTTCAGAACATATCTATGACACAAGAAACAGAAAAAAAAGTACAACTTGTCCAAGCGAGATAAAATTATAGGACAACGCTGTTTTGACTACTTGGGCCCAAAACTCTTTAATCAGATCCAAGTTGATCTACAAAATATATCAAAATTATATTATTTAAAAAATAATATGGACAAAATACTTAAAAAAAGTAATACATAATATATTGAAAATATTCACTTTTTTCTTATTATTAATAAAAATATTTTTTTATATAAATATATTATACACCGATTTATAGAAATCAGATCCCTATTGTGATCTTAAGCCCTGACTTACTTGATATACTCGATACTTATCCAATTCTGTCATGTATGAACATATTAGGATATCACGTACAAGTTGTAAGCCATCAACACTTGCAGCTTCTGTGATTATAAAAAATGTTTTTTTACATTTTTTTATTAAATAGGTATATTGTATTTCTATATATATTTTTTTGTGAATAAGCATCATTATTATTATTATTATAAATTTCAGCCTGGCAAAGTATATGATGAACCTGGCTGCAAGAAATGTCAATGTATAGACAACGCCTATTCCTGTCAACCGGGATCCTGTTCAACGAAAGCCAGCCTTTCAACAGAAGGTACCACTGAAGAAAAAGAAAAAACTTCAGGAACAACTATTATCAAAACAGCTGCTACAGAAGGCACTGAAGCAGATACTTATGAAACTACAAAAACTATTAAGACTTCCTCTACCGAAGGAACTGAAGGAGAAACAACAGAAATTAAAACGTCTCCAACCGAACGTATGTAACACTACTTTTTTTTAATTATTAATTTTTATTACATAATATTATTCATTATTTTACTCAAGGAACCACTGAGAAAGTATCTACTACTGTAAGACCAAGTTCATCTAGTGAAGAAGCAAGTAGCAGAATTTTGATTAATGAAGACGAGGAACGAACTGAAGTTACAGAAGAAAAAATAAGTAAAGTAGCAGTAACTAAAGATGAAGCTGCTGGAACTGTTACTATGCACAAAACTACATTTGCTGTTCCCGGCGTTACTCCCCCTGCTGAATGTACCGAAGACAGGTAAATTTATTACAAAGCAAACCATATTACAAATAATTATATACTTATTTTTGTCTAGAATGATCCCTCTTGTGCAAGGAGATGAGCCATTGCCCGATGAAGCTTTTACTGCCAGCAGTGTCAAAGAAGATATTTTTGCTCCTTATTATGCAAGATTCTCTACTGAACTCAGCGAAGAATCAGGTAGGAGAAAGTCATGCTAATGTTGTTTTCCTTGGGTATTAAAATGATTGTTATTAAACAATTTCTTTTATGATAACACAATTTTTTTTGTACTAACTAATTACTAATTAATGATTACTTTGGTTAATTTTTGTTAGGTGGAAGCTGGGCTCCAAAACAACAAAATCAAAACCAATATCTAGAAATCGATTTAGGCAAACAAGAACCTGTGTATGGAGTTATTGTTAAAGGAAGTCCACTCTATGATGAATATGTTACCAGTTACAGAGTTCAGTACAGTCCTGATGGTCACACTTTCTATTATATCCTTAATAATAAGAAAACTACTCCAATTGTAAGTAGAAGAAAAATTTTTATAGGGAGGCCAGACAAAAATATAACAGAATCATCATCAGGAACTGCGTCAACATTTTAGACAAAAGTCAATTTTCGATGAAAGTAGAACATTCCCCTTCCCTCCATTACTTTAACCTGTACAATTTTACTAGAGAAAGTATTAACGTAATCTTACGGAGAATTCAACATTATAAATAATAGTCATTGCTTTACTTTTGATTTTAGAGCTCTCAAGCGGGATAAAAATGCTTAAATAATTGAAAAATCAACCAAAATAACTTTATGCTACGCATTAGATTACTGATGAAATTAGCTTTCGAATAAAGTGTCAAAGTTTAGAATAGCTGACAGTTTTTTATCCCAATAGAGGGCACCTAAATCAAAAGAAAATTAAATTTTCCAACGATCACTTACAGAAGTGACATAAAACGCACTATTTAGTCTTATTGGAGTTTCTTATATCACACGTGTGTAAATAACAATCTACTTTTTACATAAGCTGTCAATTATGTCAGACGCATAATTTCTATCTTGATTTATGTAATATCCATATTAATAGCACAATTGATTTGATGATTAAATTGTTAACATAAATTTTTATACCTGATCCTAGATATTTATTATTAAAATAATTTTAAAGTAAATAAATTGATTTTAATGTTTTTTTTTCTGGTTCAATTACATATTAGAAAATTTAGGTAACTATGTTATATTATGTTGAGAATGGGATGTTAATACTCTGCAACCTAAAATATCTATTGTGCCCCCTTCTGTCATTAATGCAGCAAGGAAATGTCTCAATGCCTAACCCTGATAGCTCAGTTCCTAGATCATTTAATTTTTACAATATCGCATGCCGCGAACATGTCGCGACGCGGGTTCAATTCCCAATAGAAGCATTCTTTATCATTTAAAAAAAAAATATGAAAATTAAAAAAATACAGCTATTGTCGTTTATTTATTTTAAATCATTTTATTATCATAATATAACTCGTACAGATAATCTTTTAACTATTTTTTTGTATTATTTTGTTCACTGTTCAGAAAAAAATTATGAGTAGAATTATTCAATAAGGCATATAAAATAAATATCAAAACTAGTTACATCTTGAATGAACCTTTATAACCAGATTTCCTGATTTTATATTTTTTTTTTTATTAAATTATTTAGTGGTCGTAGGAAAAATATTGTAAGATATTGTACAAGTGACTTTTCACACTCATAATGTAATATACTATCTCAATGATGTGTAATACTTAATACTGTCCCTATTTAAATTATGTTGGTTAGAATGATGGAGAGAAGGAAAATGACATATGACAGTTGAGGATATGATAAAAAGGTGCCCCTTTAATCATAAATGTATAGATCCAAGTATTTGTCTAAAAATGTTTATGCAATTCCTGATAATGACTCTGGTACATTTTCGTTTGGTCACCCTGTATATAAAGTCTGCTCATTGAGAATTTTTTTAAATTTACAAATACTATTTTAGATATTCAGAGGATCTACAGACAGTACAACGGAAGTCAAACAATACTTCGACGTACCAGTCGAAGCCAAAAAAATAAGGATTAACCCTAAATCATGGAACAATGGAATATCTATGCAAGTTGAACTCATTGGTTGTTCAGAGACAACCACACAAACTACCAACACATTCAAGACCACTACTCAAATTGTCGTAAGTTCTGATTAAAAAATAATCTAAGATATTTTTTTAAGCTTCGTATATTTTCAGATTAAAACCACACCATCACCAATGCTTTGTGACGATCCCATGGGTCTTGGCGACGGTTCAATGTCATTATCACAAGTATCTGTAAGTTCTTCAATCAGTTCCAAACACGGAAAGGCCAATCTCAAACTTACCGACAAATCTGCTTGGCAACCGTTGACCAATTCACCCACTGAATGGATTTTGGTAAGTTTATTATCACATTATCACTTAGAATAGAATATTAACTACCTATATTACGACAATAATTTTTTAGTTTGATTTCTTGGAGCCAAGAGACATAACAGGTCTAGTAACCAAAGGTGGTCCAGACGGTTGGGTAGAAAACTACATAATCCAATACTCCAACGACAATGTAGAGTGGAGTACTATCATGTATGGCAAAAAGGATAAGATATTCGCAGGAAATTACAATTCCAATATACCACAAGTCAACAACTTTGAATTACCAATCAGAACTCGTTACGTGAAAATCGTTCCTAAAAAATGGCGTGATAATATCCAAATGCGCGTTGAAATCCATGGTTGTTACCAACCATACCGTAAGTACAAATATGATTTTTCTTTCAAAAGTACTACTAAAAGTGTTTAAAACAATGCATGTATTTACCTATGAGTCATTTTGTTGGCGTTTGAAAGCTTTTAAAATATTATGAAAATGGTCAAACTGAACAAAATCATGTAAACACTTTCTAGGAGTGATAACCATATCGCTTGAAGGGGCTGTAGATAAACATGAGCTAAACGGTAATGGATAACCAAAAATTAGGAGTCTAATTCAAGTTTTATTTTTGACAACTTGAAATCAGTATTACCTTGTTCCGTAAAAATAACATATATAAAACCATATCAACTAACTAACAACCAGCTCCTACAATACTCCCGGTGAATCGGCATACTCAAAATACGGTCCCAAAAAACGCACGCTAAATGAGCTTTTATAATTAACCGCACGGGCGCTGGTACTGCATATGGTGTTCAAAATACATGGCTTCTTATGGGAATTATTCCTAATGTTGTTAAAATAATAAAAATAAACTTGTTTATAGCTAAATAAAGCACAGAACATACTGTTGTATTTATTTCTAAATAAGTCTTGCATGTTTTAATTAATAAATTATTTGATTTTATCTATATAAAGTACAAATTAGGTAGGTATGACCAAATTCGAAAAGGTTTGTTAAATGCTGAAATTTGATGAGTACAATTTTGTGGCAAATTTTTTTTTGAATTGAAGCTATATACAGGGTGGCTCACGCTCAACGGGACGGAGCTTTATGGGAAAACGACCAAAGATATAAAAAATTCGTTTGGGAGGAATACGTAGGTTACAGACGGCTACAATTTAAAATTTGTTAGATGTATACAGGATGTCCCACATAAGAAAAAAAAATAGTTCATTAAAAATTATTCAAACAAGAGTAAAAATTCAAATAAATCGAAAACTAATAATAATAGTAATAGGGAACCTTTAGTTAACTGACATTATTTTTGATGTAGTTTTTAATTCTAAAATAAAAAACAGGGTGTTCCATTAAAAATAATATAACTTTGTATATTTTCTCTTAGTATAAAGGGAGATTTTGGAATGTACATGGTATTAACTCATCCTTTAATTTCAGCTTTCCCCTTTTTATTTTGTCAACAGTACCATCAGTAAAAATAATCTCATAAAATTTGATAATATCTTCTAAAAAGTATAGAACAGCATCATCTCTAGAAAATGCTTTATCGATACTAGGAACGATATAAATGCTGCCACTTTTCTAAGCGTTTAGTATCCTATAAAAAACATTTACAATGACACAATTGGGGTTCAATAAAAAGATAACAGCAACTTTTTATCTAGCATTAAAACTCTATAAAAAATTAATTTTCTTTCCTAGTAAGTTAAATTTAATGTATAAATATTGTTGTTTGTAAGTCAGGATATATCACTGTAAAATTTTATATTATAGTAACACTATTTTGTATCTTTTTACCAATTTTTTAAAAAATCACTTCCTTTTACATTTACTTACATAGAAAATTGACACCGCTGTTATTTCGACATGCTAATACAGTCAATTTCACGAACTTTATAAAAAGAAGGACGGAAATTTGAAATTTAACCATTGCCGATTCGCCTCCTTCTCTTTAGTCTTCATAGTTAAAAAAGGTTTTACATATGATGAATAATTACTGAACGAATTGTTAGATGTCAGATATGACAGGTGCCATATGTCACTATCAACGAAATTCACATACTTTGATTACTATACGAGGCAAGAGAGAGGTCCGACAAGCCCAACATAGGGCGCGGCCATTTTGAACCCTGTGACACAGTTTACATCTAAAGAATCAGATCGCTCACTCTGCGTCGGCACTTTTGATCTCAATGTTTCAGTTTATACACTGTGCAACTCGGATAATACAATATATGACAACCGCCGATAATAAAACAACAGTCTTCTGCGTATCCTGAATTTGTATCCCTGGAGTGGATGTTATTTTGGAACTTTCAACTGGTCCGAGTGAGCTAACTAATTCTTTAGCAATAAACTGTGACTTCAAAAATACTATTCACTGACACTGACAGCAGAAAGCAAAATATCAGGTGCGTTTTAATCATCCGCTTCTGCTTCCGGAATGGTCGGTTTAGTCGTTTTAACCTGTCAGATTAAAACAAGAAAACCGACAATTCCGAAGCAGAAGCGGATGATTAAAACGCACCTATTAAAAATATTGCGCCAAGATGTAGGCAACACGTAATAAGGGTTAAAAATGGCGGAGTTTTCTATCTCCTTTTAAAAGGCACTCAGAAAGCTGCGCAGTGCGACCATTCTCCGTATAGTAAAAGAAAATCAAAGTATGTGACGAAATTGTATGAACATTGTCCGTTGTTTTTAATAATTGAAGAATCCATTTTAAAGTAAATATAATTATTTACTCTCTATTCCAGTTTTTTTTTTTCGGTAATGAATCTGAAGTGGCGAAAAAGCGTCGATAATTTAATAAAAAACGAATTGTTTATTTAATAAATTTAAGTTTCGATTGTAAAAGAAGCTTTGAAACTTTCAAAGATAGCAAAAAATTGTTAGCATATGCTAAAATCACACAAAAATATGTTTTTAAGGCAATAAAAACATACATTTCAAAAATACTTTTTTTCTTCCAAATACTTTATTTTTTCTCATTCAAACAATTTTAATTTTATACGTTTTTTTTATTAAAAAGTTGGCAACCCTAACTTCAACGCCATTTTTATCACTGTAGATAGTTTTCTCTGTGCGTTTACTTACTCTAAACGGGCCTTCATATGGTGGTTGCAAACTTTTTATGTTACAAAAACGAAATCACAAGTTCCAAAGCCTTTTCTGTGGCTTTTTGCTACAAAAGGTTTAAAATTATTTTGCGTTTTCAGTTCTAGTTTAACCAAGTTGAAAATTTTTAAAGGTTTGCCCCAATTTAGCAAGAATTTCGTTACCTTCTGACGAATCATTACCTATGAGACTTAAGAAACATTTTTCCGGGTATGAGAAGCGTTTGACTAGTTTTAAACTCTAGCAAAGTGATAGGCAATTCCTCCATCTAAAGAATGGTGTTTTGTCTTGTCATTAACGCAGCTTTTAGTTGCATATAGAATCTCTCCAACTGTTAGAGCTGGTTTTTAATTAGTTATCATGGTATTACTTACAAACTAAAGACCAGAAGAAATTCAAATGACAAAATGTAAGTTTCGGACCTTCTCTAGGGTTTAGTTGATATATCAGCTTATTTTGTTTTTGGAATTAGATACTAATTTAGACACTAATTTAAAGGGGCTGCAGCTAAACGACAAGGGAAGGCCATAAAAATAGGAGTCTATTTATTTTTAACAACTTGAAATCAGTATTGACACATATTCCATAATAATAATAATAATAATAATAATAATAATAACGGCTTTGTCATGAAATAGCTCCGAACAATATAGCGCGTGTCATAGTAGCGCTATTATTTGAGCGCCTAATCAAAATGGCATTTAACGAAATAGCGCCCAAACAAAATAACGCTTAATCAAAATAGTGCTTAAACAAAACAACTCCTGACCGAAATAGCATTTATTAAAATAGCGCTGTGTATCTAAATAGCGGTCCAGTGAACTAAGACCTGATTAAAACTGTGCTGCCTTCTACTAATTTGCCTAACCTGTACGGCCTGGACCCATCGCGGATTGCTTGACAGAATATTTTTACGTAAAATATTTAAAAAAAGAACTAATTTACTCAACCTGTGCGGCCTGGAGCCATCGCGGGCTACTTCGCAAAAAATATACGTATAATTAAAAAATTTAAAAACAACTTAACAAATATATATTACCAGCGGGTGAGCGATCCGTAAAATTTAAATGGTACAGGTTACGTAAATTAGTTTTTTTTTTTTTAATTTTTTTTTTTGCGAAGAAACCCGCAATGGCTCTAGGCCGCACAGGTTAGGTAAATTAGTAAAAATAATGCTGTTTTGAACTGGTCCTAGTTCGCTGGACCGCTATTTCGATAAGGTGCTGTCTCAGTCTGATGCTATTTTAATGCCGTTTCGTTCAGGACCTGTTTTGATTGTGCGCTGTTTTGACTGGCTCTATTTTAATAAGAACCATTTGGTTCAAGCCGACTACGGACGATGAGCGATAATATAATATATATTATAGCTCACATATTATAAAAATATCGCTTTGCATTAAAAAGTGCAAGTCGCCGCGCATTGATGCTATAATATATATCTATATCCCGGCGATTCCGGGCGATATATTTAATGTTGGACGAAATATGCTTTCCGAGCGATTTTTAGGATATATATTTCCCCCCTCTTGTGTCGCGCTGCCCGCCAAGAAAGCAAAACGGCGTTGTTTACATGTTTGTTTTGAATGTGATTTGATAAATAAATTTTGTAGGTTTGTAAAATTAGTTGCTACTTCTAAATAGATTTATAATATTTGTTTTAATATATTTTTTTTAAACTCTAGTTTTTTAGTAAAAGTCACTTTCCTATAACTAAGAATAATTTATCTATATACATACCTTAAAGTAACTACCAGTCGCTCTAAGGAACTAATGCTTTTCCGCATATTTGTATTTTGCTTTTCTATTTAATTTTTTATTAAATCATGAAATTCATAAAAATTAGTTCAGTCCATTCGAAAATAATTTGTAAATTTTTCGTCACTTAATTCGTTAAAAAGTGTAAATTCTCCTCGTTCTTTTCGGTATTTGATGTGATTTGATAACCAGAATCTTATTGTTTCTTTTTGGTTACTAACCCTAATTACTAATAATACATTGTCCCTTTCAGCATCTGATTTATCTTCTGATGAGCTATCAATGGTATCTAGCAATAACAAATTTTTCTCCATCGCCATTTTTGCAACTACACTATATAGTTCACTGGATCAGCCTATTATATTGAAAAATAAAAAATATATATATTCTCGTCCACTGCAGTAATAATATAATATAATATTATAGCTCATTGCTGAGCTATAAAATATATTATATTATCGCTTATCGTCCGTAGCCGGCTTGGCGTTCTTCTGATATAAACTATTTTAAAAGGCGCTATTTCGTGATATAGCCAATAATAACATATATAAAACCATAACAACTTACAAACAGCTCTTATATCGCCAAACATTTGTCAAACATTCATAAAACATTCATGTATAAAACTTCGAAGCGACAACATTAGATCAAAAAGGCAATTACTAGCTTGTGGTTTGCATAAAATTCACATTTAACATACTTTTCAAGACTACAAAGCAAAAGATTCCAAACTATAACATTGTACATTAATAATCAAAAAGGAACTTCAACAATATCAATTTGATCAAATCAAATTTTACCTTCTTTTAATCAATTATTCAATTATTTCAGCTACCGTTACTGAAGAATCTACAATTGTCACTCCAGTTGAAGAAGTTTGCAATACCTGTCCAGAAATACAACATAATAGTATAGAAGATGTCTGCAGATGTTTACCTGGAAAATGGTGGGATGGAAACAAATGCGTCGACAGAACTCAGTGTCCTTGCGTTGTTAATTACATAAAGTAAGTGTAATTTTGTTATAAGTGTAAAACTTTCAACAAATAAATAACATTTGTGCTTTTTAGATATCCAGTGGAAAGCATATTCGAAAAAGACGATTGCTCTGAATGTATTTGTAAAATTGGTGGAGTTCCATTCTGTAAACCTAAACAATGTAAACCTTGTGAAGAGGTAATATTTTATTGGTAGCTACTAAAAATTTAATTGTTTATATATTTTTGTCTAAATAACCTTTTAGGGTCTGAAAAGTACCGTTACAGCAACATGCGCTTGCACATGCCAACCTTGCCCTGAAGAAACTACACTGTGTCCAACAAGTAATATTTGTATCAACTCAACATTATGGTGTAACGGAATAGAAGATTGTCCTGATGATGAAGTTAACTGTGCTTCTACTACTGCATCTACCGAAGCTCCAACCCCTCTAGTCAGCGTTTTAACTACTCATGGACAGAGACCTTCCTCATCTACTGCTGCCGCTCGAATAACTTCTAAACCTACTACACCAGGTAACATTACTTCGATTCTTGCCTTAGACGAGATCGGCCTATTATGCGATTTTTTTCTCTCTAGACAAACACTTCATATCTTACTTCTGTCCTCAACTTGCAACTGCTTTTCAAGTAAAATCATCTTTGTATCTTTTGTATCATTGTTTTGCTGTCTTCTTCTCTTTAATACCCGTTTATTGAACAGTGGCCCGGCGTAGTAGTTTCACCATCTGCAGTCAAGCCAGGCCGAGCGCAGTTAGTAGTTGAATGAGTGGTTATTTCAATTAAAGTCGGCGTACGTATAAACAAACTGCTTGCGTAGGTATAGTGTCGCGCAAAGCCAACCCTGTGCTTTGTTTATTACCGTACCGCGACAGAAAGTCTAGCGCTGGCCATATCGAGACAAACATACTGCTTCTCGAATCTGCCAGAGTAATCGCTTTGCGGCATATGAATCATAGAGAGGGAGTTTTCGAATATTCTAAGTAGCCTAGAGTGTTCTGGTATAGAGCTTTTGTTATATAAATATCGCGAGTTGTCGACGGACGTACAGAATCAAATGAAGTGTTGGACAGCAAAGACAAATTGTAATAAATAATTTAGAATTGTAGGTTATAATAGTGTCTAAGTATTATATAAATTAATTAGTACGTTATAAATAAATTCAAAATAGTGTTTTAAATAAATAAACTATAAATAAATTAAACGAACGTTACAATAGTATGGAGGGGTGGCATCTTTCGGAGAAGATATAAAGCTGTACTGCTGATTGGAACACCAGAGGATTAAGCCAAGTTTCTAGTATTTAGGGGTAGCGTGCTCACCAGAGTCGGTGTCTGTCGTAGTTATGTTATTACTTTGATACTACCTAGTACTTGTTTCACGGATAGTGATAGTAGTTTGTTTTGTAATAAAAAAGGTAATTTAGTAATTTGACACTATAAAAAAGTAAGTCAGAACTAATAAAAAGCCTTTTATTTTTAAAAGAAGCGACGATACAAAACAGTGTCTAAATCACGTAGTTAGAAATAGGCCGACGTTAAATAAATTAATAAAAAAAATTAAAAAACTTTCTTTTCAATTGATGCTGTTGAACATAAAGAATTCTAGATAGTTATTAAATGATCCTTGGAGCATTAAATCTTAAGTATAAAAGATATAAGACCATGGTGTAGAGAGGTAAAGCGAAACAAATTAGCCAGGATAGTGGCACCTCGTAACCAAAATTTTGGGGGTTCACGGTGACAGAATATAGATATCAGTACTGATGTATGAAAAAACTTTCAGTGTTTTTAATATACCTTTCTAAAACACTGACAGTTTTTTACCTACATTTGTACCGAGAGCTATATTCTGCTACTGTGAACCCCCAAAATTTTGGTTACGAGCCGCCCCTACATAGGAATAATTTGATTTATTGTCAGTACCGTAGTAAATTATACAAATAAGTAATAACTTATGTATTATACAACTATTAAAAATGTATTTGAATCACAGCCAATATTTACTAAAAATATCAAGGTTTTATTTCCAAATTTGAATTACAAGAAATCCTAAAATTATTTGACTAATTGTATAAATTTCATCTCGGGCCCCATACTATGTAGATTGCAGCACCGGCTCCTTCCTTGGTTTTTGAACCGTCTGTGTACCAGACGAGTTCAGCCTGTACGGGAGGTCCCTGTTTCCAGAATTCTCGGGCTGGTATTTGAATTTGAAAATTTCTTTTAAATTTGTATGTGGTTATGACTCTATCAGTAGGCATAGCTAGAATATAATCCCTTTTTACTTGCTGATATAAAAATATGCCTCATTTGGTTATCAGGTCGCCCTCCCACGGTCTCTTCTACTATAATTTTTTCGAAATAAATACAAATAATGGTTTTGTAAGAGACAGATTATACCTGTCAACCAAAAATATTACACTAAACTGTATGTGTGCTCAATTTAGAAAGAAAAGTTAGGTCATAAAATTTTACAGGTTTATTCTGTCTGTTACAGATCCATTACTTGTTTCGAAAAAAATCAGACTTATTATTACAAAAAGTCCAAAATTACCTGACGATGTGTAAGTGCCGGCAACGCCGCAATAACGTAAAAAATTAAGTACCAGTCAAAGGAAGCCGCTCTACATAGTATGGGGTCAGAAATTAAATTTATATAATCAGTCGAATCATTTTAGGATTTTATGTATATAGTCTTTCTAGACCATTGAGGTAGTAGGTATTATAAAGAGGCGCTATAAGTATTATTTCACGTCCCACTAGGCGTGGCTTAGAGTCGTAACAATATGGATGCCTCACCAAGTCTTGACTCTCTAAAATTATAAGACTTAATTTATTTAGAATAAAAGATTTTTATCTGTTAACTAGGGTCATATGAAAAGTCAGTGCATTTTTAAAGATTTTTAAAGATGTGTGTGTGTGCGTGCGTGCGTGTGTGTGTGTGTGTGTGTGTGTGTATGTGTGTGTGTATGTGTGTGTGTGTGTGTGTGTGTGTGTGTGTGTGTGTGTGTGTGTGTGTGTGTGTGTGTGTGTGTGTGTGTGTGTGTGTGTGTGTGTGTGTGTGTGTGTGTGTGTGTGTGTGTGTGTGTGTGTGTGTGTGTGTGTGTGTGTGTGTGTGTGTGTGTGTGTGTGTGTGTTTCGTATACGGTTTCCTGCCATTTTCGTGTTATATGGGAAAATGAAACTCTTGCACATCATAAAATATAATTTCTAATCAATAATAAAATAAGAGAAAACCGTAAGTATATGAAACAATTATCGTAAAATGTTTAAACCCGGAAACTATTTAAATAAGTAAAATATAAAAATAGATTTTTTTAATTACTACCCTGTTTATTGTTGTCATTTTATATACTAACCTATGAAATGTTATTCCTATAGATTTCTTTTTATCAACTGTGCAACTAGTTACAATGAGCATATGAAACCATTGTTGTCTTTCACTATATCATTTAAATTTCACACAAAAAGTAAAAAATAGGAATACTTGATCATAGAAATCACATCAACGAAATCACAACTATGCGACAGCTGTTTGACGCAAGTGTCGCATCAATATGGCGAACTGACGCCGCTTTTGACCACGTGATCGCGTCTCCCTGCAATACTACCTTAATTCCAGACACAATCCAACACGACATAATAACCGACTTCAAAGGGATCGCGCACATGGGCGTACCGTTTTTATTATTAAAATTTAAAAAATTAAATTATTAATTGGGTATAGTCTTCGAGCATTCGGAGGGTATAGTTCTTCCATTATCAATTCTAGAATATAAAAACTGGTTCCGAACCCTTACCGACAATTTTGTTTGATCTGCCATAGGCGTAGATACCTCATTTTATAAATTTATTGTTTTTATAAATACTTTTAAAAATATATCATATGCGAGAATATATTCGTTAAAAGGCAAAAGAATCATTATACATTGGACGGCATTAAACGCCGTTATTTAGACAGATGTACTTAATTGTAGTGTTACTTGAAACTTAAAAAAAATCAATATTATAGCTCGTTAACTTGCTACAACTGAATATTAAATTATAAAACATAAATAGACTAGTAAATAGTACCTGCCTGTAAGGACACAAGACGTGAACTAAGCCCTTTTTGAACCCCATTCGTTTATTTTTCTGGAAAACAAATTTTAAAGCAAAAACCATAAAGGGAAATAAATTATTTGCAAATAAAACAAAACTATAAAATAATTTAGAAAAATGAATTTTTTAAAAGAAATAAATTAATACGAACTAATATAATAATAATAAGTATAGAATGCACTTATAACGCACCCCCGGTACAAACGCCTGTGTTAGATTGAGTCTAGAAACACTATACTCTAAGATCTGAAGTAAGGTCGATATTCACAAATCTGTTTAAGATTGAAAGTTTTTTTATTAAATAAAATATGTTTATAAATATACCGCAAATGGGTTGCCTAAAAAATACTGTCAAGATTATTTATTAAGTAAATAAAACAACACCCTATAAAGTATTCTCCAAATGCTTCGATGCGCTTTTCCTCAAATATCTCGTGCGGTTCATTTTTGAGAAATTATGCATAGGACTAAAATTATAGAGCATGACATCACAAGCAACTGTTATCATGATTTCTATACTTGTCTTTTCTGTTTACAGAATGGAAAGTAAAAATAGCCGTGACAATCTTTTCATATGCAATCCACTTATAAACATCTTTTATTTAATAAAAAAAATGTCAGTCGTTAAACAGATCGGATTCTGTACTAGTAGGTCAAATTTGGAAATTAAAACTTGATACTTCCAGTAAATTTACCTGTGACCCAAATAAATTTTTATTATTTTAATTTTACATAATTTATTACTTATTTAGATAACTTACTGCGGTACTATAGATAAATCAAATAATTCTTACGCGCCTGGACTAATGTCTTTCACCTTCATCCTCTACACCCTGGTCTTACATCTTTTACTATAGCAAAGAATCTATCTTTCAACTGATTTCCGTGCCTTGCTACCTCTGAATTTCACTTTTTTTTAATGCTCCTACTAACTTTTTTAATTTTCCTTTTAGGCTAATTAAATTCTACTATATATCTTCTATTTTTTTTATCTTCTTTTATGTTACTATTTATTTATTTATTTATTAATTTAGAACCAGAACCATGCCCGGAAGTTATTTGCGGCCCAGGATTTGAAAAGGTCATCAAGAAAAGAAGCCACAAAAAAGGAGGCAGAAAGACGTACAAATCACAAATGATTAGAAACAATAACGTTAAAACGGCTGGTGTAAAGACAAAATATGTTGGCGCCAAAGGAGGAAGAGGTGGGGTCAAAACAGGTAAATTACAATAAAAAAACGGTTTATCTCTGGTTCTGATGTTTATTTTGATACTTTTTGCCTTCGATTTCTTGATAACCAGAAACCCGAATTAGTTGTACCATATACCTCAGAGCTTCGTTATAGTCCAATACTAGTCTCACGTACATTTTGGACCTAAAGGGCCATCTGGCTCTCTGATACCTAGACTGGTGTCTGGGTTGTTAGAAAATATTTCAGTCCTAGTGCCTTCTGTAGACTTAGAACCAGCTATATATCTGTTTTTGTTCCTGATGGTAGGCATTGGCTTTCTTTATGATGGCTTAAAAATACTTAATATTTGATCTAATTAATATTTATTATTAAAAAAATATTATATTTGCCAGCACAAGCAAAATGGACACTGGCAACACCAACTCCACGATCACATGACGTGAAGAAACCTCAAATAGAAGAATGCATCGAATACATTTGCGTTCCTACAATACCAGAATTCAACAACAGTCAAGAAGCCCTTGACATTTGCCCTGCTGTAGACTGTGAAGATAATATGATTCTTATTTATGATGAATTTAATCAAGAAACAAATTGTCAAGAGTTCCATTGTGAACCTCCTCCGAAACCAGACGCTACATGTTCTGTCATAGGAAGAACTTTTAATACCTTTGATGGTGTCGAATACAAATACGATATTTGCAACCATGTTTTAGCCAGAGACTTGAACTCTGATGATTGGGAAGTATCATGTAAGTATAGTGCTACCCATAATAACAAAATGAGTAGTCTTTTCACTAATATTTCGAATTATAGTGTAATTTTAACTTATTTTCAGTGAAAAAGATTTGTAGAAAGGTTTGCTCTAGAGATTTAATTATCCAGCACGATTTGCACAAGTTTGTCTTCCATACTGATTTCTCTGTAGAATACGATGACTACACCTACTCCCTACAGCAAATTATTAAACTGTCAGAAAGACAAGAAGATTTTTCTATTACACTAGTCGGTCGCACTGTACTGTTCACATCAGGCAAATATGGTTTCTGGGTGATATGGACCCAGAGCGGTAACGCGAAGATTGGAGTTGACCAACAATTGCTTGAAAAGGTCGATGGTTTATGCGGTTATTTTGATGGAGACCAAGAAGGCGATAAGCGTAAACCGGATGGTAGCTTGAGTAAAACGACCGTCGATTTTGGTGACAGTTGGGCCCTATCACATGACCAACCATCAATTTGCGAAGCTAAAACTTGTCCACTTAAAATTCAGAACGAAGCATGGCAGATGTGTAACAAAGTTAAGGAAGAGTCGTTGCAAAGATGTGGACAAGTAATGGACGTAGAATCATTTATTTCCCGTTGTTTAGAAACGACCTGTACCTGTTTGGAACAGTCCCTGCAAAACGAAACTGCAGAGGAAAGCTGCAAATGTCAAGCACTTCAATCTTTCGTGGACGATTGTCTCTCGAAGAACCCCAATGTTGATATTTCCAACTGGAGAGTTGAACAAAATTGCCGTGAGTAAAAAACAATTATTTCTTTAATTCTTTAATTAACTGTTTAATTTTAGCTGCTCCATGTGAAGCACCGCTAATCTACAACGATTGTTACCAAAAACGATGTGAACCCGACTGTGCCACTTTCTCCGATCCTAGGGCTTGTCCTAAAGTCAATGACATGTGCTTCCCAGGATGTTATTGCCCTGCTGGGTACGTTAGAGAAGGAAATAATTGCATACCGCCATCTAGTTGCAGAAACTGTGAATGTGATCTGCTCCCACACCTTACTTACATTACTTATGATGAAGCTAACTTTACTATTAGTGGAAATTGCGTATACGTAATGTCTAGGGATGTAATTACAAAAGAAAATAAGGAACATCAATTCCAGGCAAGTTTTATTTTTTATATGATCAATGAGTAATTATGTTCGAACTTAAATTAGCCACGGTCGAAGTTATTAAGACTAAAGTATTTGTTTTATAGGTTCTTATCACAAACCATGCATGCTCAACTAGTAGCACAACATCGAAAACGAAAACTCATGAACACAAGAACAAAATGTGCGTCGGAAAGGTCACAATTCTTTACGAGAACCATAAGATTCATATTCTCAAAGACGAACAACGCAACAGACTGAAGATGATTTATGATGGAGAGAGAATCACAGATTTTGAGGACGTTGCTGAAGTTGTTAAAGTAGGAGAAACCCAAAAAAGAGATTTGAAGGTGTTACTGAATAGAATACAAGTAGTAGTACAAGTAACGTACCCCAACTTAGCAGTTAGCGTAAAGGTACCATCTTATACCTTTGGTGGAAAAATGGAAGGTATATGTGGTGATTGTAATGGAAAGGAAGACGATGATTTCAGGAAACCTGATGGCAATAAACCAAAAGATGTTACCGACTTTGGACTCAGCTGGTTGTACGAAAATCTACCAGGAGGTCAAAGCAAAGAACAATGTGAAGAACCAGAGGAAGAAAAATGCCACATTAAACCTGGTGAACCCGATCCATGTGTTCAATTATTGGACGAAAATAAATTTGGACAGGTAACATATATTTAATGCAGCTGTTTTTTTTTTCTAAACTAATTTAATTTTAGTGTTCCAACCTTGTTGACCCAACAATGTATTTGGAATGGTGCCGCAAAGATACTTGCAATGGTGACTTAACAGAGTCTTGTGAAGTTTTGGAAGCTTATGCTAAAGAGTGTTCCATGTACGGTTTCTGCGTCAACTGGAGAAACAACCTATGTCCCGTACCAACGTGTCCACCAGGACAATTCTACTCACCCTGTGGACCGGCCCATCCAGATACCTGTGACAACTTGGGATCAACTAAAAACCCAACTAAAAATCCAACCAAAGGACAACATAGGGTTAGGCCAACTGAAGGTTGCTTCTGTCCAGAAGGAAAGGTATTGCTGAACGAAACTTGTATCGAACCAAGGGAATGCATAACTTGTGATAACGAAGGTCACCACCCAGGAGACGTTTGGAAGAGAGACAAATGTACTACCTGCAAATGTGATAAGAAAACGCTGGTATGCGATACACAACAATGCGTAGATCCTTCGACCATTTGCGAGAGAGGATACAATGCAATACTAGTTCCAACAGGAGAAGACGAATGTTGCGATAAATATACCTGCAGTAAGCGAAATTATATGACTTTGTAAACCTTTTCATATTGTTGATAAATATTTATGAGAGATTTAACACAGCGATCCCGAGAGAATTTCATAGTTACCTTGACAGTTTTTATATCGACCTCAAGATATTTTTATAGAAACCACGAGGGATTTCTTGAAGAAAAAATGTTAATGCCTATTTATAAACAATAATTATAGATATTGAAATCTAAATAACAGTCTTATCGCTATTTAATTTTTATTTTCAGTTCCTGAACCAACCAATTCACCAATTTGTGATCCTCCACAAAACTTACAATGCGCTCAAGATCAAGTTTTAAAACTAGAGACAAAATCAAATGGTTGCCAGATCTATATTTGTGAATGCAAACCAAAAGAGGAGTGCGAAGAAATTGATTTGTCTTCTATTAACGCTAAACCAGGTAAATATTAATACCACTATTATATTAAAGAAATATTCCATAAAGCATCTGAAAAAGGCATGTGAATATGGGAAGAACTTTGATTAATCTTTAAAATTGCTTAAACAATTTTCCTTTTAGGATACGTCAAGGAAATAGACAACCAGAGCAGCTGCTGTCCAGTGGTCAACTTGGTTTGTAAAAAGGAAACATGTCCGCCACGCATAGAATGTCCACAGTTTTACTCTTTGAAAGAAGACAAGTCAGACGATAATTGTTGTCCTGTATACTCCTGCGAGGCTCCAGAAAAATGTATCGTCACAACGGAATATGGACCAGCTCCTGCCGGTGGCGAAAGACCTTTAACCGATTTGGAGAAACAGAAATTACTTAAGGATCTCGGCGAAACATGGAAAGATGGACCTTGCAACGATTGTAAATGTATTGTATCTGAAAATGGTAAGCTGATATTTATAGTGTTTTAATCAATTTAAACGGTATGTTCGGGAAGTTGGTAATACCTCTGCGAAAGTTTTATCTAGGGCAGAAGAAACAAGCAAAATACTGAGACAACTTTAAAAAGATAACGTTACCAGAGATCAAATTTTTTTTGGTCATGGGCTATAACTTTGATCTACAAAAACTGAGCAAAATCCTTGATAGTACTCTCATATATTTTACTTTTGACTTTGTTTTTTTGTTGGAAAAATGCCTTTTACGCACCTCCGGAGACGATTGAGCTTTACCCCTACGCCAGACTGACTAAATATTCACGTCTTGTTACACTTGGAAAACTTGTCGTCAAGTTAGTGAGGTGGTCTCTTCATATGACATGTCTTATCTTCCCTGTTGTAGTCGTTCTACATTTTTCTTACATTTCGTGATATCCGATATTGTGTTGTGAATTTTTTTGTAGTTGATTTGAGACGAGAGAAACATTGATTATGTTTTCCGTTGTTATAACATGCCTGTAGCTTAAAGGTCTTGAGAGATCAAGCCAAACATATTACACCTCATTAAGATAGCCCTGGTCAGCCTAACATAGTGGAAACTGCAAAACATTTATAAGTTACTTGCGTGTAGAGTGATTGCTATAATCACTTTCTGTGCTCTCTTGATTCACTGATGGTCCAACTGATAGTTAATGTTGAGGTGTTCAAGTCAAATTTCACATATTACTTAACATACTACTTAATCGTTTAGGTAAATAAACCAATTAATCTGACAATGTATACTGGGAACCGGCTTGTATATGGTGTACTAATGAACTGGTGAGAAATGAACTTTGATTGGTTCTGTCTGCGAAAAGAATGGCATCAGCTATTTATGTATGAATTGTCTTCCTTCTGCAAGACGAATTTTCTAGGTGCTTTCTTATGTCGTTGGTTTACAAACAAAACAAACTAAGTCAATTTTTTTATTTTAAACTAATTTAGATTAGTTGATTGGATTTCTTATTATTATAACCTTATTTCTTTATTTATCGTGCATAAAATTTATAAAAATAAAAAAACATGCTAATAGGACTTTCCCGTTATTAATATCTAATTTGCAACTCATACTTCCTGTTAAAATTTTAAATTTGTTGTTGTTATGTTTCCTACTCTGAATTCCAATTACATATCCGTGAATATCATTGGTAGGGGAGCCAGTGACACTTTTAGGTGTGTTCTTTGCTCAGGGCAAAACTACAAATATTTCGTTCATTCTTACCTTGTAGAACATGGAAATACTTTGCTAGTCCCTGCAGCGATGGAGTCTTCGACCACGACATCTTAGAAAAGCCTATTTAGATAATGCATTGTGCAAATGTGTACCAAAAAAGTGTCATTGGCTCCCTTACTATATAGACTAGATGACAGTTGTTTAAAGTAACGAAGACAGGAGATAATCGTTGTAGCCAACCTAATAGTTGTAAGGCGAGGACAAAAGAGAGATGAAAGAGAGATAAAAGAAAGGATATATGGAAAATTACTAGATTCAAAAGTCTCCCGCTTTTTTGCACAGAAAAAAAGGTGTACTATATTCAAGATGAATGGTCATATTTCAATGCTTTATTGTATTTGCATATCCGCAAGTAAAACTCGTCACGATTTGAAATTCTAGTAATACTTGTTCAACAATAGCTAATAAGCCTTGCTTCAAGATTAAAATCAACTTGCCCTAACTTAAATACCTCCAATTTAATGAAGAGTATCTATTGCTCAATTGCAGTACATTTTAAATGAAATAGTCTTACACTTTCTTTAAATATACTTTATTTATCTTCAATAATACCTTGTTCTTAAATCCAATGCAACTAAATTTGTCACAATAATAATACGATCTATCCCAAAAAAATTCAATATTATCTTTGACATAAATATACTGTTTTTGGTTGAATTATAGGATATTTTCATTGACGATATTAATAATCTTGAAATAAGAACAGGCTGTTTTTAGGGTTCTCACTGGTACCTATCCACCGAAAAACATTTTTCAAAATTGTTTTTAGTTAAGGTACCAAATTTCTCTGTCCTCTGAGGTGTATAATTAAAAAAAAAAACAAATAATTTTATAACTACAAAACCTAAATGGAACATAAAAGTTTGTCCTGCTAAGAAAAGAGGTCGTATCTACAAAATGAATATTTTTAGTAAATGTGGGTAGGTAGATAATTACGTCCTTTTAGACTTCGCAAATAAGTTGCATATTTTACTAACCTTTTCTTATAATTATAGTAAATATTTTCTAATGCAGATAGGCCTTTATTATTTTGTGTCGTAATAAAATAAAACGTAAGCTTATTAAATTTGTAAGAATCTTGAAATCGGAATTTTCGTAGATACGACCTCTTGTCTTAGCAAGGCAGAAGTAATCTTTCCAAAAAGTCGTAATCCAGCATCATACATTTTTTTTACTTCTATTCCAGTTTATTTTATGTTCTTATGATTATAAATTTACTTGTATATAATACCTTACAAGAAGTGAACTAAATATACTTACATTTAAATATTGGTATGAGGTCGCTGAGGCCCCATCCATCTAACAAATCTTCCATTTCAATTTCTAACAAAAAGTAGAACGCAACCCTAACGATACGACGCAAAGTTCTTAGAAAATGGACAATACGATGAACACGTGCTAATGCCAATTTGCCAGATTCTCTATAAATGCGATGTGTCTCTGACTTCCGAATAATAAGTATCACAACATGTACCAGTCACATATCTACCGTACCAGTGCAGTGGTTGCATTTTAAAATAAGTTTCAGCTGGCAACACCGTGCAGTGAATTTGTACTCGCTAATATTTTGTGAAGTACATAGATTTTTAATTCTTGTTCTGAAATTTAAATGTTTTGAATCGAATCCTTTTATAACATTGAATCAAGTACGCGATAGTCGGTTTTAAGAACATATCATACTTACAATAAACGTAAGAGCTTTCTTGGATTAATTAATAATTCTAGACTCGAATAAAATAATTTATTCTCAGATTAATTATTATAAATATTAAAATACAAGAATATGCCTACACTTCACTTCACATTTATTTTCTTATTGTATCGAGAAATATTATTTGAAGCAAACTCTGCTTTATTTCAAACAAATGTAATATTCCAAGTGTAAAGCTTTTCTTGAATGTAGATGATAATTTTTTTCTCTGCGCGTATGAGTAATGTGAAATTGTCGAACAACGGGAAAGGAGGATTGTCAGCAAATACACCCATTTTTAAAAAAATTAAACCTATTTTTAACTAGAACAAAACGAGGCAAGGGCGTTGAAATTGAAATGACAGTTGGCCGGGTTACCCACACTCCATTTTTTTTACGGGAACGACTTTGTGGTTATTCTTCTCGGTTTTAGGCAAGAATGTGTGGGTTTTCGATAAATCTAAGGCAGTGAAATATTGTGTATCCTGGATCGTCCTGCTCCTCACAATATATGCCTAAATCATCGTTGGTTTTCCCAATCCTCATCGTGTGGGTTCGGAATGAATCGTGTCCAGTTAAAAATTGCCTTAAAAAGTAATTCGTGCTTCTATATTGACACTTTACCCACTCCCTGATATTTCTAATTAATTATTTTATCCAATGAAAAAAAGTGATGTGAGGAAAGTCAGTTCGGTCCGAAAAACTGCAGTTATTTTATCCATTGTCCTTTTTCCGTTTTCCTTTCCAATTCCGATTGCCATTTGTCTAGCGTAATTGATAGATCCTCGCTTCTGTCCAGCGTTGTTTTAGTGTTTTCCATGTTAATTAATCTTGTTCTTTCTTCTAGATGACTTGCAGAGTCACCGCTGAGTTGGTCTTGTATATAAAGGCTCCTCTGATGAGGGTTTTCCGTTAAATACTGGTCAATCGTTTTTCTCGACTTCGTATTTTAGCGCGTTTTACCATACCGTTCCTCCTAACATGAGGATGCACTGATCCTTTTCCTTAGTACTATCAAACTTATCTTTATGTCCGGATTAACAATCTGAAATTATGTTGTCAGTTCTAAATGGTTGTTGAATATTTTAACATTCACTAACGATTAATGCAAACATTTATCTAGGTAACTACGTTCCAACCTGTTCAAAGGCAACATGCCCGGACCCAAGAACGGACTCAGACTGGGAAGAATATGAATTGGTTTCAGAAAAAGTCTACAACGAATGTTGTCCCAAATATAAGCGCCATGCTTGCAAATACAATGGTAAGTAATTTAATATATTTTTTATTTGTTTTTCAGGAGGTTTGATGTTCATATTTATTATGTTTTTTACAGGCAAAGTATACAAGGTGGGAGAAACCTGGTTGAAAGAATCAGATTACTGCACTTCATTCAAGTGCATCATATCTCCTAATGGTTATGTCCAGAAAGAAACTCAAGTGAAACAATGTGAGCCAAAGTGTGATGTAGGATTCGCTTATGTTGAACCCTCAGCAGAATCTCAGGAATGTTGTGGATCCTGTAAGCAAGTCTCTTGCATCGTTGAAGGTGAAACTTATCCTATTGGAAAGACATGGACTTCGCCAGATTTTTGTACAGAATACGTATGCACAGATGCTGAAGGATCGGTAAGATTTTCTTTTTCTTTCTTATACTTGGCATAGTAAATAATTTAATTGGCTTGTTAATTGCTTATTACAAATTATTAACACTTTTAGGTACAAGTTAAATCCGTAACTCAACATTGTCCAAAGATCCCTGATGAAAATATTAAGAATTTCGTTGTTGAAACCGTACCACAACCAGGAAAATGTTGTCCAAAACACGTATTGACAGCTTGCAAAGTTGAAGGTCATGTTGTTAAGGTAAGTTTTTTCTCACCATCTCCACCATTGTTAAACGTCCTTCTAGTAACTTCTTGGATCTTCTACTTCCTATTTTTACTATTCATTTATTTCCGTAATTATTTTATTGTGTTCCTTGCAGGTGGGAGAGACATGGGTATCAGAAGATGATATTTGCAAGTCATATAAATGTGTTCAAAAAGGAGACAACCAATTGAGCATTCAAGAAACAGTCCAATCGTGCAAGAGCGACTGTGGAAAGGTACATAAAGAAATCTAGTACCTACACTAAATTAAGGTTTTAACACAATTTTAATTTTATTTTCAGGGTTGGAAATACGAAAAATCCAATACGCAATGTTGCGGTAAATGCGTCCAAGTATCTTGTGTTTTGGAAGAAGAAGTATGGAAAGAAGGAGAAAGTTGGAAGTCGGATGATGGTTGTACGACATTCAGTTGTGAAAAATTAGGAGACCAATATTCGATTGTTACCCAACAAGAAACCTGTCCTCCTGTCGAAGACTGTCCTGTGGAAAACATGTTCGTCAAAGGCTGCTGTAAATTCTGTAATGCTACACCGGAGGCTCTAAGTAAGTTAGAAATCTGTTCCTGTAAATTTTGAAATAAAAATTGGACGTTTTTAAAGAATCACAATGGAATGAGTATGGAGGGCCTTACTTTGGCGTGGGAAAATTTTAACAACCGTGGGAAAGTTCTTTAGATGAGCAACGTTTGTGCTGGCCCACTTGTACCAAAAGTCACCACGAGATGGCGCCACCTGTCAGTGTTGATAATTGAAACTTAAGTGGTTTTGCGACTCGGCTAAGTGATCCGATATAGTGGTATAGATTGACGTTAAAGAGAAAAATCATGCGCAATGCTAAAGCCAAAAGAAGTATATATCTTTGCTATTATTAATTCGATTTAAGCGGAAAAACGGCGTTGTGAAGAAGACATGGTATAGAATAACGCTAAAGAGAAAAATCTTGGGCTATATCAATGCCAAGAGGACCTAAGTCAGTATCTTCGTTGCTATTAGTCCGATTAAGGAGACGTAACGTAGATTAACGTTATTTCAAAAAATCATTCGCAATGACGAAGCCAAAAAGGCATAAACGCATATTTCCGTTGCTATTAGTCCGATTCAAACGATAAAAACTAGGGAGTATGATAAATAACATACAGATTAACTTTAAGGAGAAAAATAGTTCGCAATGACAAAACCAAAAGGACCTAAGTCTATATATTCGTTGCTATTAGTCTGATTGGAACAAAGAGTATTGTGAAAGAGATTACTGTTAAAGAAAAAATCAGCAGCAATGCCAAAAGGACCTCAGCTAGCCGAATGGGGAAAACAGGGGAGTGGGGGAAAATACTAATGCTACAGCTAATGCACCAAATCCAAAAAGTCACTCTGCTAATATTGGTCCGATTTGCATTCAACCTGAACTACTATTTATCGTCATTTTTACAGAAGTAAATGTTTATTTAAGGTTTGTTCCAACAACAATCTTGGTACTATACATAAACCAGTCCACACTTTATTGTCGACGACCTGTCGAGGATTGGGACGCCATTCGGAACTTGGATGTGTTAGAACACATTTTTGTGTTTTCAGACACACTCTGTTAATAACGTCAAAGTAAAATCAAATTTAACAAATGTAAAATTCTGAATTTGGAAAATAAAAAAAATATAAAACTCATGAAAAGATTTATAAATTTTGATTATTCGATTGGTTAGTACATTAAACTTTATTTATTTTAGTTTTTTACCATTAAAGTCAGAATAATAGTCCTTTTTACTTTCTTTACTCCATTACTCATTGTTAACTGATACACGTATACAATAATATACTATAAATAATGATAATTAATGAAAACCAAACTACGATCGATAATAGTAATCTAATCCTTGGATCAAGACTACGATCGATGCTATCAAAACAAATATAATCAAGAAATTTCCAGAGTTAGTCGTGGTTTATTTACGAGTTCACTTTCGTTTTGCGCATGTCTTGACAATTCGTTCATATTCACACCCAGGAACTGATTTGACAGTACAGAAACTGGTGTGTGATTAGGTTTGGGTTTGTTGGAACACTAGGTTTTTGTACAGTTTTGAGTCAGAAGTTTGTTGAAACACCAAATCTAGACTGCGCAGAATCCTGACAGTACGTAAACCGATTTGCTATTGTGTTGGAACAAACCTTTAAAAATTGAAAATTAATATTTTTACAGTTACAAAATTTATTATAATTTTTAAATATTAAATTGCATTCACGAAGTCTTGCTCATAAGAAAACCGCAATTTTACCAATTTAGTATATAAAATACGTTAAATATGCAGAGATTATTAATTGAATTAAATAGTTGCTTGGTTTTATCTATTTTTTACAATTTAAAACTATTTCTAAAACTATTCTAGAGTTGCCAAAATCCATTTGCAGGTTTTCATTTTTGTGTTTCCATTTTTTCTACTTTCCCTGGGGACGTGCTTTGCCCATACTACTTAGGACTTACCTTCGATTACATTATTGTTTAAAAAATTTGGCTTTGGTAATAAAATATACAAACAATATATTTTGTTTAATTTTCAGCCCAATGTATGCCCTTGCCGATGGCATTGGAAGACACAATTGGAATTTTGAAAGTCGACGATTGTAGAAACATATATCCAATTACGAACTTCACTGAATGTGTTGGTAGCTGCGAATCCTCAACTTCTTTCAACGTTGGTAAGTACAATATTTATATTTTTTAATTTTTTGTGTATTGCGTATTGATTGTAAAGGCGTTTATAAGAAATATGTTCCATCAACAGAAACCAGTCATTGTCATTAGGATTGTGCGCAGTATGAATTTGGCGGTCTAAATAATCTACTGCGCAGAATCCTGGTGTCAATGACTGATTATAGATCCTTGTTGGAACAGACCAAAAATTAACTGGCACATATTAGTTTAGGCAGTGTTTTAGAACCACGTTAATAGCCTTCATTAATACTTCTAAGTCCATGACCGGATCAAATCTGACTAAAGGGGAAAATTATGTAGAGGTGGCAATTAAATTTAGATTAACCTGGAAGAACAATCCGGAAAAACAATAAAAAGATGAATATATAATAATGACAAGGTGCTTCTTTGGAAAAGAAATGGGTGTCAAATAAGCTGCTATATAATATAGTAGTAAAACCAGCAATAAAATATATATCTTTCGTATGGTGGCCAAAAATGTATTTTTGTTGTAGCAAAGAACTGCGATATCGAGAATTAGCTAGTTACAAAGACTTGCCTCAATAAAAAACATTAATTACTATGAAAGACTTGCATCAGTTTGATCACTATAAATGAATTCAGTGGCTGCCAACAAGAACAGTCCTAGTATACAGAAGAATCTAAAACCGTGGAAAGTAATGGAGGAAAACTATATTCCAATTCAAAAATAAAGAATAGGAAATTTGCCAAAAATAAAAAAACCTATCAATATCAGGCTGGCAGGCGGGCCCTCAAATCATATCGGATCAGAAAGTACGTCGGAATGGTTGATTTAAGAGTGCAATAAAAAAATTCTGAAGACACTGCGGAACCGAAATAGGCTTGCATTTATAGTGGATACTTGGGCATCAGAAAGCAATGAAACAACTGACAAACTTTCAAAAGGAAAGTCAGAATAAATAGCGGAAACAAATATAAACCTAGAAGCTCAACTTACCATAACGAACCAGCTCAGAAACTCAGATGGCGGGAATGGTTTAAGCAGATCTATACGCGTATTGCAATAGATATAACCACATTTCTTTCTGTATAAAATTGATACATTCAATTAAATATTTCCAATGTAATAGCTTGAAGATATAATTAACAAAAAAAAAAATTAGAAATTTTTTAACTCCGTCACCGACTTATACCCACAGTGGGAGAGATATAATAGATGAAAGTGCCGCCGTGGAGTTTCCTAGCTGCTTGTTATGTTTAGCTGTGTTAGAAGCTAGGAGCACAACTGTGCTAGAAGTATGTACCAAAATGCACAGTACTTAGACTTACAAACTACTGGGTTCGGTAAAAACGTAATTAATAACTACTGGTTAGATGTCCCAAAATAGGAAACCTTTATATGACTATATTCAAAATTAATAATAGAATTACTTTCTTTGAATTGGAACCAGTTGATAATAATAAAATTAGAAAGAGTCGAACACTGTGCAACTGTGAAGCAGCTCGAAAAAGTGTGGCTTTGATTATTTGTCCAAGGAACAAAGGTGTGAGTGTGGGTAGTATGAACTAAAATGGAGTAAACACAAAAAGGCAATTTAGCTTAAGACAGCTCAGTATCTAGGAATAGGCGTAAAAGTTACTAAACATTGCTAATATTGGAGTTCCCCAGCTATATTGTCGGTTAAAATGTTAATTAAACAACAAAACTAATAGTATTACTCGCTGCCATAATAATTTATAAGACTATATTTGACTGGGATTTAACTTTTTTAACGATATTTTGTTTCTAGGTGTTGGAATGCACCAATCAGAATGTGCTTGTTGTCAGGCTCTAGCCTACAACACGCTTTATGTAGAATTGGAATGCGATGGAGGTAGAAAATTGAAGAAGAAAATTGGAGTACCATCTAAATGTGGTTGTAACGTAAGTGAATGTAGTGGAATTAGCAAGCAGCCCGCACAAAAGATCCGTAAGGGAAGATACATTCCAGTTGGTTGAACTGAGTACCTAATTAGGAGTTAATATAGGTTAAGTAGTTTTTAAATTATGATCGAAGAAATTTATTGAAGTTAATTAATAAAGTGGTTGATGTTTTATCAGTTGTTTTTCTATTATACCACCGAAAAATCTTATTCGTTCCAAATCTTTTACCACACAACCAAATACTTTTTGGACCTGGCCCTTCCATTGGACCAACAGAAACAGAAATAGTTGTTTTCAGTATTAATCAAATATTTTAAAAACTTTAATTTTCACTATGAATTTTTCACAAAAAATCGTTCAACAAATGAAATAATATCTTCGGTAAGGATGTCATTTGCTTCGATAGCAGCAAAATGTCCAATTCCTGGATATATGTCGTAACCAACAAGATTTGTGTATTTGTCACGAAGAAAATTCTCAGGTAAAAAGAAAAACTCATTTTCAAACATGACGCATTTGCAAAGTACACTAGGATGAATTGGTATGCTGAAAAAATAAAAATTTTCGTTAATAATCATAGTATGAAGGAGAAAATTTCGGCTGGAATGTTTGGCAACATTAATAAAAATTAGTGAAAAAATCTTGTTTTATTAATATTTAAGGTAGTTCACTCGTAAAACGGCTTTTCTTAAGAATTCAATAAAATTGAAATATAAGGTTAATGAATGTGTCTTTTACGTACCGTCAAGTGGGGCTAACATGACCAAATTTTTAATTTTTGCTAACTTTTTCTTCAAATAATAAAAATTTTTAGTTTCAGATACTTATATTTTCTTTTAAAGGTGGAACACTTTCCCCGCAGAAAGGGGCAAAGTGGACCACCTGTAAACTTTATCTTATTTAAACACTATATTGAGAAAATGGTCCACAAAAAATGTTTTTTTTAAAATAATTGTAAATCGAGATTTGGAAATCAAGAAATATTTGAAAATAAATATTACACGTGGTTGTAAATAGTAAAAAAATATTTTATTTTTAAACAAAAAACAAACTCCTTTAATTATTACATATATAGTGGTAAACTTATAAATAATGCTTTTAAGATAACAAAAAAATATCGGTTTTCCTTTCCATATTAAATGAATATCTGCCTCTACAATGATTTCTAAGATAAATTTAACTGTTGAACGGCACTCGCTACGAACTTGAGTAAAACAAAAGTAAATATATTTTCCTACTACCTTCCTCAAAAAATGTATTTGGTATTTGTCTTGTATTTTTTTTATTGGTACCCTATTTTACCTATTTAAAGTACGCCTCAGCGTGTTTAAAACGAACTTTAAAAAACGCGCGTTTTAAAGTTACTATGGCACATCAACAACCCGAGAAACGTGATGTCTAAATGCTAACTTTTTAAATATTGATCTGACAGGAGTGCCTTGTAATGTCAAATAAAATATTTCTGAGACATTTTTCAAAAAATTTATTCAAATATTTTTTCACATTCTTAATTGTTTAAATGAATGTGGAAAGTACAGTTAGTATTGTTTGAAATATTAAAACTTCGGTTTTTTAAATCAGAGGAAATATTGTTCAAATTAAGATTGCTAACATTCTTGGAAGTCAATAAAGTTGTACATCCATTAATAGCACTTCCAATAATATTTGAAACATTCTTCTTATTGCTAATGCTCTCTTCAACGTAACCAGTCGCCACAGCTGCCGATTTCCATCCTACTTGTCGTTGGATTTGATCTATTGTCATAATGGTAGCGGACGTACGTCGAAATGCATGTCCAGTATATTTCTCAGGATCGTCCAATTTAAGATAACGTGCAATTTGCTGGGGACATGATCCAAATGTACTAATACCAACCATTTGATTGGTGCACTTCCCCTTATCATACCGTAAGAAAACTCGGTCTGTACTTACATTTTGGGGGCGCAATGATAAATACTGCTTCACCAAACGCACATATCTAATTGCATCACTATCGGCAACAGTAAAACGTCGAGACTTCACTGTCTTAGATGGTCGGATAGTAATAAGCAATACGCTTTCTTCTTCCTTGATATCAGCTAAGCAAAAATCGCACAATTAACATCTTCTACAAGAGCCAAAGATGCCACAAATAGCAACCACCTTCAAAAATAAATACGTAATGTCCGGTGCATCTGTAAAAAACTTCTGCAAATCGTCTTCCTCGAATACATATGCCTTCTTGACTACCTCATTTTTGCTAATTGCCTTCATGAATGCATGCACTTTGACGAACGATTTTATATCGACCCCTTTGTTTATCCTCAACATACTTTGTAATTTTGAATGGATAGTCCACATAGTCGATACTTTATATTGTTCCGACATTTTCTGGAGATAAGCGAGAACAACTCGCTCATCTATATGTGTAACCATTTGCTCTTCCATCCACGTGTTGAATTTATCGTATTTTTTTTTATAAATCGCTCGGATTTTTGTGGTATTAAGCGCGATTCTGCTTTATTATTTAAATACTCAATATGAACTAATTTTAAACAATAACAACTGTTGTGACAATTAATCTTACGAGGCTATAGGCCATAGTAGTCGACGCCGATGACACAACAAAAAAATAATCTTACGTGACAGATTGAAAATAAATTTTTGTTCGTCTCATTTTCCTGACAACGATGTATACTGATGTTATATCACAAATTCAACCATTTTAAGTTATTAGTTCTTATTTCCATTTTTTTGTAGAAATAATACCAATATTTAGGATTTCAAAGTATACCAATAAAAAAAAATAGCGTAAAGTATTCGTGGATAACTGGTCTTTAAAATCGCGCGTGTTTTAATGACCGTTATATCTACTTATACCTTAATATACTATATTTATTATCTGTCCAACGTAATGTAGATTTCTTTTCCCTTAGTGATTTCAAACTTCACGATGACAAAATCGTTTTCCACTAATTCATCTAAACTGTTTTGTTGTGCTTCCAGTACAACTTCTTGGAATTCTTTCCAATATTTTCTTGTCATTAGAACCTTCATTCTCAAATATTTCATCTGATAACTCATTGTGTTTACTATAATCGCCTTCATCTGAGGATGTTTCATTCTGTTCAAATGAAACAATTTTTCCGGATGCTACTTTCATTTTTTTAATTCTTGGTTTTTTGCTAATTTTTCGGGTATTCTTGTTTTTTTAGAGACTCGATTAACTCTTGGTAGGGGTAGGTTCATTCGGGGCTTCTTCTGACAGTCGCCATAAAACTTTCTGTCGAATTAATAGACAAATACCGCAAGCAGCAAACCCAGCTTTCAAATTTTCTGATGCAGTTTCAAGGACCTCCAAAGTTTTCTCTAAAAGTTTTGGAACTACTTCCCTATTTTTTTGGTTCAATTCTAAAAGGACAGCATTCCATTTCCGTTTCAATGGACCAAAAAATGCCACATCAAGAGTTTGACAAATTCCAAAAGAATTTGGAGGGAGTAGCCCAAATCTGATGTCACTTTCGTTACAAGTTTGGATGACATTTTGAGAAATATGGTTCGATAAATTATTCCCTAATTAATACCCGAGGCGCAGGTTGTTTTTTCAAATATGGCAGAGCAATACTTCAAAGGTCCTTTCGTAAAACCATCCGTTCTTTAATCTAGTTTGTGCTGGGCCACCTTCAATCCATGTGGGATATAAGTTCTCTGCCCGATATACAATATAAGGTGGCAATAACACTCCAGAGGCTGATCCACTCATCATTAAAGACATTCTACATTTTGATGAGTCTATAACATATTTGAGATGCTTGGAGCGGATCGTCGGAAAAATTCGTTTCATCGTAGTTTACTATACTATTTGCTGAAACACCTTCTAATGAATTTACATTGGTCAAAATGAGAATGTATGAGGTCGGCACCAACGGCAGCCCTACAACGTTTGATATTTTCAGAAAAGCGCACTGAGAGTTTAGGATGCTGTGGCGACATCATGTTCCCCACATAATCTTACCTGTTTAAGTTTTGACATATTAGTCATTTCATTTTAAAATTTTTAAGTTGTTTGTATTTGAGGTTGGTCAAGTATCGATGTCGTAACTAGTCTTTATAGTCGTAACTATGAAGACTAGTCTACTTTGAATGTGTGTCATGGTCATAATATTGTTAATTCTTAGGTAGATATATCGGTTCGACGTCTTTTGAGGTGTGCCCTGATTGGTCGAGCCTTGACGAACGTGGTCATGGAGTTTTTATGGAAACGAAAAATAAAAGAAAAAAAATAATAATAATAAACAAGACGACGACAAGTACTGAGGAAGAAAACTGTCAATACATTTTAATATTATACTTTTTTGAAATCTAGATAATTTTTTTATTATTATAGCGAGATGTCTAACTCATATACCAAAACCTACAGATGCCTTTTGAAAAAAAGATTAATAAAGCCTTTTCCCGGCATATTGTTTTGAAATCGTGACTCTTGCCTTCCAATACGATCCAGAAATTGTTTTATAATTAATCTAATGTCTAGCTTGGTCAGCGGGAACCCACATTCTTCACAAACTATGAGGCCTTGAGCTATTTGTTGTCTTTCATCATTATTCAGAGCTGGTTGACGACCATATTGTTACGCAGGTTTTTGGTATCTCAATTTATTCCAACACAACTTTTACAATAACTCTCAGCTGATAACATTAACGTATAACGTCTATCATAAAACTGACCCCCTGACGTCAGGATTGCCGACTTAAGGGCCCCACTCACCTCGTTCTTCTCCGCCGTTTTTAACTGACGGTTAAAAACGTCAGGGTAAAAATGTCACAAAAACGAGGTGTATGGGCAAGAACGTCGTTCCAAAATTTCAGGCGAGGCTTGATTTTTGTCGGTTATCGTGCCAACTGTTTGAGTAAACACGAGGTGTGTATTCTCAACAGTTCGACTGGTCGGGCATTTATCAGTGGCAGTGACGTTCAGCATGTTTTTGTTTTTTATTATTATTTACAACTGGTTATAATAAAAATGTCAGATATTAGGAAGTGGAACAGAGACTTTATTAGAGTTTATCGAGCTTGGCAGGTTTCGGTTATTAAGCGTCCTAGTACCTGCAGTGAAATATTAACAGAAAACTTCAGATCCCCGTAGCTGCGGCCAGTGGCCAGAAACCGCAGAGTAGCTATTAGGCGTTCGTGAG